GAATTGAACACAATATTTCCAATTGATACGCATTTATTAAGTGCCTAGAATATGCTAGGCACTGCTAAGCACCTGATGTGTACTCCAGATGAGATCTGACCAAGGCAGAAAATCATCAGACTGCTAAGTGCACAATAGATAGAGTGCTGGCCTGAAGTCAGGAAGACTCATCTTCCTGAGTTCAAATCCAGCCTCAGATACTTACTAACTGTGTGACCCTGGGCAAGTCACTTCACCCGGTTTGCCTCAGTTTCCTCATCTGTAAAGTGAGCTGGAGAAGGGAATGGCAAACTCCTCCAGTATCTTTGCCAAGAAAACCCCAAATGGGGTCACAGGGAGTCTTAAACACGACTGAAATGACTAACCAAACAAAAACCACATCCCTTTCTTATTCCTGAAAGCTCTCCTTGCCTCTCTTAATGTACCCCCAGATTGCATTCACTCTTTAGGTTGCCTTGGTCTACGAAAGCCCCAGGTCTTTCATTATTGATCTAAGCTCGGCAGAGCGGAGAGAGAGCCAAGAAAGCCTGGGTTCAAACTCCGACCCTGATACACCTTTGACCCAGAGTCACTTAACTTTCAATGCTCTAGGCAATCTCTGGGGCTGTAGGTTGTTGAGAGAGGGCTGGCCTTCTGTAGCCGAGGGAGTTTCCTTTTCTGGGAGGTCCTCATACTATAGAAATCACTGGTCCAGACCCTCTCATTATTTATATAAAATCACTGTTGTTATTATTATTATGATTATTAAAATCTCATGAAATTCTGGCTGGGTGTCTTGTAGCACATAGTTGTGACACAGGCTTTGGTGGGGCACCCAGCAGGGGGAGGCTGGGGAGGCCTCTTTTCAGGTGGGCCTGGGGCAGAGGCTTTCGTGGGGTACCCCACCCTTCAGGTCCAGATAAGATTAAACAAAGCCTTCACTCTCCGGTGAGACAGAGGGGCCCCTCATCCCTCTGCATTGTCTACCTGTGTCCCAGAGGACAAAGGGTAAGTCAGAACTTACCCAGTCACCTCTCTTTCCCCAGGGACTTGGCCCGAAAGGACCGCAATGGAGCATCTGACCCCTTTGTGCGAGTGCGCTACAACGGCAAGACCCAGGAAAGTTCGGTGAGGGGCTAGAGAGAGGGGGTGCTTACAGGGGTTCGCATGGGGCCACTGTCACCCCACTCCCAAGTGGAAAGGAGGAAGGAGGCAATGAGGGTCCCCTCTCAGCCACGCATGGATCAAGGAACTAGGAATGTCCCTGCAGCTAAAGCCCACTCAGACCCACCTAGTTGGAGAGAGTGGAACAACATTGGATGAGGAGTCAGAAGTCCCAACTACCACTCACCTTGATCCGCTCGGTGCCTCAGTTTTCCTATCTGTGAAAGGGAGAGGAGGTCAGACTGGATGGCCCCTAAGATCTTAGACCTAGAACAGGAAGTCCCACTGACCCCTTCATTTTATGGATAAGGAAACTGAGCCTTAGGGAGCTTAAGTGACTTGGCCACAGGTAACAAACTTCAGAGATGAGATTTGAACCCACAGTTTCTGTCTCCAGAGCTGGGGCTTTTTCCACTCTGCTCCTGTGGTTCTCTAACTCAGCCTTGGGGATTGAACCCCTCTCTGAACTGAGGCTCCAGTGATGTGCCTGGTCTCAGAAGAACCTGTGGAGAGAGGAGGTCCCCCTATCCCCAAACACCCAAGCCAGGCTGTGTCAGGCAGGTGTGGGACTGGCTTCCCTTTGGCTCCCTTCTCCCTTGGTCAGATCGTAAAGAAATCCTGCTACCCGAGATGGAACGAGACCTTTGAATTTGAGCTGGAGGAGTCCGCCCCAGGGACGCTGTGTGTGGAAGCCTGGGATTGGGACCTGGTCAGCAGAAATGACTTCCTGGGTAAGGTGAGTCAGCTCAGCTCAGCTCAGCCCTGGGCGCCTTCTCCCTTTGAAGGAAAATGTCTGTTTGTTATGGATTCAACAACCGCCAACAAACACAAACGTGGCGATATACACAGGAGAACCAGAGAGAGGATTATCTAAGCAAATGTGTCCTTCATCATTGGATTTTTTTTTTAAAAAAGTATGTATATATACATATATGTGCACACACCCATATGCACATATCCCGTAGATTTAAGAATTAGACAAGATCTCAGAGGCTGTCTCATCCAGTATCCTCATTTTATAGATGAAGAGACTTAGGTGCCTTCACCAAGGTCATACAGTGGTAAGGGTCAAAGGCAGGATTTGAACCCAGGTCCTCTGACTCTCCAGCCTATGCTTTTCCTATTAACCACAAAGCTTCCTGACAAAATTGCCTTTTCTGACTCAGTCTACTCAGATGAATGAAGAGAAGCTATTTCTTCTAGAGATCCCAATGATTAGGGCAGCTAGATGGCGCAGTGGATAGAGCTCTGGCCTTGGAGTCAGGAGGACCTGAGTTCAAATTCGGCCTCAGATACTTGACACTTACTAGCTGTGTGACCCTGGGCAAGTCACTCACCATCTTTGCTCTGGGGTAATTAATGAACTTTGGTCTCTGGAGAGGAAAATGAAAGGGGAAATTTCCAGCCATCAGGGATGTGCTCGTCTGACTGGTGAGGGGAGAGTCCTTTGCTCTGGGGGTCAGAATGTGTGAATCCTGCATCCCTTCTATCTTGGATCCAACCCTAGAAGCATTGTCTGGCATTCTCCCAAAGAAATAGCCCTTCTCCTGTTCATCCAGGCAGACACTGACCAAGCTGGAGGGGAATTCAGTTAGGGGACAATGCAGTACAGTGAAAAGAGTATGGGAATTGTCTGGAGTCAGAGAACATGGGTTCAAATCCCACTTCTGACATTTACCACCGTGCGACCTTGGGAAATCACTTAACTTCCCCAGGCTCAGTTTCCTCATCTATAAAAGAGGACATTGGGTTCGGCTACCTCTGAGGTTCCTTCCGGCTCCAGATCAGTGGGATTTATTCATTGGTTCAGCCACTTGGACTTGAGGGAGTCTGGCATTCCCCAAGGCATCCCTTTCCCACCAGGTTTGTGGTACAGTAGGGGACCAGAGTCAGAAACCTAGTTGTCCTTACTCTCCAACTTATTAAACAACCTACTCATTAAGCGTTTTTATTGGAGGGCAAGAGGGAGAAACAGTGCTTTGGGATCCTCAGAGCCAGTGGAAGAGTTGAGTCCCTGTGTGATCAGAGAGGTCCCAGCATTCCAATCTTCTCTGATTTCTTTCCTTCCTCAGGTGATGTTCAATATCCAAGGTCTGCAGGCTGCCCAGCGGGAAGAGGGCTGGTTCTGGCTGCGGCCGGACCAATCCAAGACCAGGGTGGATGAGTGAGTGTCCTGGAAGTTTTCAGAATCTTCTGAATGAGTCCTGGAAGGCTCTAGGTCTGAGACCCATTCCAGAGCCCTAAAAGGCAGATCATTGCAATGGGGGAAGCATCGAATTAGTTCACTGCTACCTGGGCTCCCGAGAGAGGCTTGGGAGTCACTGACCCTTCCCAATGCACACACAGACTTCCTTCCCTGGGGCTCTTATGGCCCTACGGCCCCAGGCTCATCAGTGGGACACAGTGTCTAGACTCTGAGTAGGGGCTACCTGACCACTTGGCTTCAGATATATCTCAGCCCATCCTCTGTCATCCCCTTGAGAGTGGCCCCAGTGCCTGAATGGGGCTGGGGGCTGGGGGAGAACCAACCAATCAGTTAGTAAACATATATTAAGCACTTCCTTTGGGCCAGGCCATGTGCTTAGTGCTGGCAATATAAGGAAAAAGCAACAACATCCCCTGCCCTCAAGGAGCTTACATTCTTTTTTTTTTCTTTTTGGTGAGGCAATTGGGGTTAAGTGACTTGCCCAGGGTCACACAGCTAGTGAGTGTCAAGTGTCTGGGGCCAGATTTTGAATTTAGGTCCTCCTGATTCCAAGGCCAGAGCTCTATCCACTGTGTCACCCAGCTGCCCCTAAGGAGCTTACATTCTAATAGGGGGAGACAGAGAAGAACACTGCCCTACATCGATCTCAGGTGGGGAAACTTTCTGCCATCGTGATACCCGTTGATCAATCAACCAAGACTCCTATATTAGACTCATAGATGTGGATGCAATTGTACATCATAGATGCAGAGAGAAGGAAATTTAGAGGCCGATAGAGTCCAACCCCTTCACTTTGCAGATGAGGAAACTGAAGCACAGAGGAGTTAAGTGATTTCCCCAAGGTCATGCAACTAAGGGAGTGTTTGAGGTGGGATTCAAACCCCGGTCTTCCTGATTCCAAGTCCAACTTTTCCCAGTCTATCCCCTTCACATGCCACCTCTGAGTACCTGTTATGTGCTAGGCAGGGGAGGTGGGGGGTATGTGGCAATATCTGGACCCTAAAAGGGCTCCCAGTCCACTTGGGCATCAGGAAATTAGGAGAAATGAATCAACAATGTAGGCACTGACTGTCCTGACAGAGGCAACGTGGCATAGTGGATGGAAGGTCAGCCATTGAATCAAAACAACCTGGATTCCACCCAGTCCCGCTTTTGACCTGTACTAACTTTGTGACCCTGGGCAAGTCACTTAATATAGCAATGCCCCAGGAAACTCTATAAGACTATAATTTATCGACAAATTGGTGGAGGGAGTTTCCACGCTGGGAGTTCTTGGCATTGCTAAACTTGCAGGTCAGACCCCGTCCACCTCCAAAAAAACTCCAAACGTGATGACTGATGACAGGTGGGGGAAAAATCAATGTAAAGATTAAATCTGAGGGGGAGTCTTGAAGGGTGGGTGGGCTTGGGATAAGTAGGGAGAATGGGAAAGGGAAGAAGGTGGGAACGCTCGTGGGAGATGGTGAGTAGGACACTTGGGCTTGATCGTCAGGAGCAGTGGAAGATGAACAGTGGAAAAAGTAGGTTGGGAACAGAGCCTGGAAGGCCTTGAATACCAAGCTGAGGAATTTGGACCTGGGCCTCAGTTTCTTCTTTGTTAAATGAAGGGTTGGGGGTGAGATGAGATGAAATAACCTTGAAGTTGCAGCTGCCTTCTGCCTCTGGCTCCTAATTCCTCTAAGGCTCCTCTAACCACGACCGTTCTGGGGTACCAGGAATCTGGGATTTTCTGCTGCAAGGCTGGGGAGGGGGTAATGAAAACAGCGTTTGAGGAAGATGAGTCTTGAAGAATACGTTGCCTAGATTGGAGGGAGGAGAGGCTGGAATCGGGGAGGCTTTGGGAGGACGGCAGTCTGATCCGGGGTATTGACTAGGTTGCCGGTCATGGTTACTGTGCCCTCCTGCTTCCAGGGGCAGCCTGGGCTCCTTACAGCTGCAGGTGTGGCTTCGGGATGAGACGGTGCTGCCTTCCGGCCTCTACCAGCCCCTGGTGCAGCTGCTTTGCCGGGAGGTCAAACTGAGTCCCAAGGTCAGGGTCGGAGGCATGGGCTTGCTGGCGTCTGGAGCTGGGAAAGTCGACCCCTGGGGGGAATCTTCTCCCTTCTAGGGCCCTGGGTTTAGCACTGGAGACTCCCAGTCCCCCCATTTCTGCCGGCCCTCATCGTTTTTGCCCCGAGGTCCCTAGCCTCCCTGGGGGTGGGTGGCAGCTATCGCCCTAGAGAGGTAGGAGAAGAGGGCATTCTGAGGAACGTCTTCCACGTGGGGCCTCATTGCAGTGGGCCTTGCTGGACTGGGGGACCCATCTCGCAAAGGAACGAATTGATATCTGAGGGTAGAAGGGAGGAAGCGTATGGCTTAGCTAGAAGCCATCCCCCAGGCCCGTGGGGAGGGGGCAGTGGGTTTCAGCCTCATCCTTTACTGAGCCCTTCCTTCTCTCACCTAACACTTTACCTCTCCTCTCCCCCCACCCCACAGGACCATCCAGTGCAGCTAATCCCCCTAATCGAGGAGACCACAACGGCCGAGTGTCGTCAGGAGGTGGCCACCAATCTGGTCAAGCTCTTCCTGGGGCAAGGGCTGGTCAAGGAATTCCTGGACCTGCTTTTCCAACTGGAGCTCAGACGGACCGGTAAGAGACCTTGCTGGGGAGGGGGCAGGCCTAAGGGCCCAAGTAGTATGGCAGTGCCCAAGGACAGGAGTAGGGGAAGCAGGGAGGAGGCCCCAGGGTGGATCTTTGGAAATATTGCCAAAGGATCCTTCCTAAACTTAGGAGGAGGAGTTCAGTGGAAAGCGCAATCAGAGAAGACTTCCTGGAGGAAGTGAGGCTTGAGCTGGGTCTTGGAGGCATTGTAGGATGAAGACAGGCAGAGATGAGAAAGGAAAGCATGTCTGTCTAAGGGCGGGGGGGGGGGGGGGGGAATGGTGCAAACAAACATCCACAGGGTCTAGAATGAGCAGGGCACTTGATGGGGCACAGGACCCTGATACAGCCAGCATTATTGAATGTCAAGCTTGGCCAGAAGGGGAGGAGGGAATCCCCAGACCTGGGGGCAGGAGTGGGGAATGAGGCCATTCAAGAGAATGTCTGTGGCCAAGTACCCTAGGCCCTTGACTGGCAGTCTTTCCAGCTTCTACTCTCACAGCAACCTGAGTCTTAGAACAGACCCATATCTTGAACTCACCTATGATCCTTACCATCCTCCCACTCCCAGGTCCCTCACAATTGTCTTTTCATTTTTTTTATTTATTACATGTTTATTAGCTATATTGCCTGGCACATAGTAGGCACTTAACCAATGTTTATTGATTTTTTTTCAGTTGAAGCCAACACCCTCTTCCGGAGCAATTCCTTGGCTTCTAAGTCCATGGAATCCTTCCTGAAGGTGAGAGGGAGATGGGGCAGGTTTGGGGACAGGGATAAAACCAGAGATAGGCATAGACTCCTTCCCACCTGCACCCCTCATCCACACACTCACCCGGACTCTCCTTTTCCATCAATGGGAGTGAGCCTTCCTGAAGACACATCATGGAAGACTAAGAGAGGGAGGGGAGGAAGCCAGGTTGAAGGAACAGGAAGGTTCAGGAGACTCTCCCCAAGGCTTCCAGCAAACATGGCGCTATGCATGATTATAGCAGAGCTCAGCTCCCCTGGGAAACTCCCCAGCAAAGATGAAAAGGAGCCAGGTGATGCTATGACCAATAAAAAAAAGAAACACCTGTAAGCCCTTTCTTCTAGTCCAGGACTTCATAAGAAGCCTGCAAGCATTCTGGTAGGGTGCACACCTGTGGACTCTGTTAAATGGGACTGGAAGCCACTGGGATCTCAACCCTGGCTTGCACCTAGAGTCAGGAAGACCCAAGTTAAAATCCTGCCTGAGATAACAGCTGTGTGACCATGGGCAAGTCATTTAACTGCTATTTACCTCAGTTTCCTCATCTGTAAAATGAGAGGGTGTGTAGACTACGTGTCTCTGAGGTCCTTTCCACTCTAGATCTGGTGTGTGTGTGTGACCTATATGTCCAAGTTCTCATCTCTCCCAAGCTCTGATAATCAGCTGCCCATTAGACCTGTATCTCAAACTCAACATGCCCAAAGTGGAGCTCATCATATTCTTTCCTAAACTTGTCTCTCCTCTAAACTTCTCTACTTCTGTTGAGGGTAACACCATCCTTCTCATACAGAATCTTCCTCAACTCCTTCCTTTCCTTAAAGGCGAAAAGTCTCACTTTTGTCTTTGTCCCTCCAGTGCTTAGTAAAGGCTCTGACGCATAATAATTATTGAATAAGTACTTGTTGATTGAATGATTGAGGAAGTGGGACTTGACCTGAGCCCCAAAGGATGGCAAGTGTTTGGACAAGTGGAGAGGAAGGGGGATGGCATTTCCAGTGAGAGAATGCCTCAACTTCTCTCCTTCATCCCATCTCGACCACGTCCACCATATCACCAGCCCACCTTTTCCCATTTGCCTCCTTCCATGACCAATCCTGGCCCTTCTCTCCTGCAGGTCTCAGGCATGCAGTACCTACACAGCGTTCTGGGCCCAACAATCAACCGAGTCTTTGAAGAGAAGAAGTATGTGGAACTGGACCCCAGCAAAGTGGAGATCAAAGATGTGGGGTGAGGACAGTTCCTGGGAGGGTGGGAGGGAAAGACCCAGGTCCCTCTGTGGGTGGGCACTTTGGCTGTGCCAAGGAGACAAAAATAGAAAGAGAGGGGTGTGGGAATGCCTTGCCCAGGTCCAAATGTCTCACAAGTAAGGGGTAGGTGCTAAAGACCTCAAGGTCTTTGAAGGACTAAGTGAGATATAGAGGTTGCATGATCCAGAAATTGAAGGGAAGAGGAATCCTGGCTTTTTGTCTCTGGGTCTCTCTGTGTATCTCTGAGGGAGTTAATTCTGGATCCTGTATTTTATTTTTTATTTTATTCTATAACCACATTCTGCATCTTATAGAACAAGCCTGGGCCTCTTCTCTGTCTCTGGGTAAAGCAGCTTATGCATGCTAAAGTTCAGCCTCACCCTCTCTGAAGAGAAATACCTAGGATATAATTACTGCTAGAAGAAGAAAAACTCTGTTCTCAAAGCTCTCACAAAACACTGTCTCAGCATTTCCTGTAGGGTTTGCAGGATATCCCTGAGAAGCGAGGACTGCCTGACCTCCTCCCATCTTTAACAATTAAGGTGGTCTGTCTTGTCTAATTCCTCAGTCGCCAGTAGGTCTGCCCTTATCAGTAACCTCGGGGGATGCAGCTAGGACCCATAAAACTGACAAAAGCATTTCTTAGAGATGGAGAGGGGCAGTTGTCATCCTACCCGGGGCTATGCTTCCTTTGATGTAACCAATAATCTCTCACCTCTGTAAGGCTGGCCAATTACATGATTTTTGTTCTTTTCCATGCTTATAAAACTGTATTGCAACTTCAATTCAGGGTCTCTTAGCCAGAGTCAGAGCTGTTAGACCTATCCTTTATTATCAGGTAGCATGACCCTGTTAATAAATGATATCTTGTACAGAGAAGTGCCTCAGTTTACCTTTTTATTAAATTTTATTTGCTACTTTCTCTTTGCTTGTGTGTCTATGTTTCTATGTATCTCTGTGTATCTGTCTGGGTCTCTGTATTTCTGTCTTTCTTTGTGCATGTCTGTTTGAATCGCTACGTATACTTCTATCTGGGTCTTTATCTAAATCTGTGTGTTTGGGAATGTCTCTATTTGTTTAAGTCTCTCTGTGTTTGTGTATGTCCATGTCAACGTCTTTATCTCTATCTCTGTGTCTATATCTGTGCCTGTGTCTATGTCTATGTCTTTATCTCTGTGTCTATGTCCATGTCTGTGTCTACGTCTGTGCCTGTGTCTGCGCCCATATCTTTGTCTATGTTCATATCTATATCTGTTTCTGTGTCTGTATCCTTTCTCTGTCTCTGTGTGTTCGTGTCTGTCTGAGTTGGGGGGAGGCGAGGGACACCATCACAGCCTGACAAGCCCCTCCCTCTCTGCAGGTGTTCAGGGCTGCACCGCATCCAGACAGAGAGTGAAGTGATGGAGCAGAGCGCCCAGACCCTTCAGTCATACCTGGGCGGGCTCCTGTCAGCTATCAGTCGCTCAGTGAGGATGTGTCCGGCGGTCATCCGTGCCACCTTCCGCCAGCTTTTCAAGCGGGTGCAGGAGCACTTTCCTGAGAACAAACACCAGGTTGGAGCCCATCATCTTCGAAGCTGGGACTCTGCCCATGGGGTGGAGCAGAGGCTCCCCTCATGGAGCTGGGAGCTGAAGTAGGGCTGTGGAAAGCCAACAGGGAAGAGAGGTTTACAAACCACTTTGGGAGCCTAGAAGTGGAGGGGGAGCCAGGCATACAGCCTCTGAAGTCCTGGCATATTCCTGCTCCTGGAGCTAGTAATAACACCCCCACACCCTCAAAGGTGTGGCATTTTGTACTTTCCAAAGTCTTCAAGCCCATTAGTGCACTCATTCCTCACAGGTAGACAAAAGCAGGTATAATGATCTCAATTTTACAGATGAAAAAATTGAGGTCTAGACTTGCAAAAGGTGACATGAACGGTTAGTGGTAGAGTCCCGACTGGACTCCAGGTGTCCTAACTCTCCAGGACTTCGAGCTCTACTAGGTGCCAAGTTGTTCTCCCTACCCCCAGCCTGGGTTGAGCCAAATACTTCTCCCCGGAGGCAGCTACATGGGACACAGCACCCCGGCTGCACCTAGACATTTGGATGTGGGCAGGGGCGGGGGGATTTCTGGGGTGCCGCTAACCCAGAGTAAGAAGGGACCCAAACCCAACCCACAGAACCTGAAGTTCATTGCCGTCACCAGCTTCCTGTGCTTACGCTTCTTCTCGCCGGCCATCATGGCGCCCAAACTCTTCCACCTTCGCGAGAAGCACGCTGATGCCCGCACCAGTCGCACCTTGCTTCTCTTGGCCAAGGTACCTGGGTGGGCTGGGCCAGGCCAGGCGTGGCCTTCCAGTGCAGTGGCTATGATGGCTTACAGGCACTCTCAGGACAGGACTAGGAGGAAGCTGAGCATCAGGTTGGGAGGGTGCATTTGGAGTTTGGGAGCCACGTTGAGGGTCTGGCCAGTGTGCCAGGGAGCATACCGTAGAGGAGGGTGGCAGTGGACCTGCAGGAAAAGTTAGTGCAGAGAGAAAGGGGAAGTGAAAAGCATTTAAAGAGTTAAGACCTAGGTTCCAGTCCACTCTCTGAACCTGGGCAAGGATAACTTCTCAGGGCCCTGTGAAATTCTTGAAGACTTATCAGTGTCAGGACAGGTGATGATCTTCATTATTGGAGAGTTTCCTTACCAAAAGTTCCCTACGCTAATGAAATCAAAAGTCCCATTAAAACACACACACACACACACACACACAAACACACACACATACATACGCACACACATATACACACACACAAACACACACACACATACACACACACATACACACATACACACACATACACACACACACATATACACACACACACAAACACACACACACACACACACACAAAGCTATGGTTAATGTTTCAGAGTTCTAGGGATGAAAGGCTCATTACCAGGAAGGAGAAGTGAAAGTCTAGCAGTGACCCAGATCCAAAGGCAGTTAGGTGTGGTCCTCCAGTAGGGCCAGGGGTGCTTTTGGTGAGCTCCTGTCTTCTCTGAACGAAGCTGTGGCATGGACAGGGAAAGGCACGAGATCTGTCTTCAGGGAGTCCAGGCCTGGCTGGAGAGATGAGACCCCCAGAGAGAAAACAGTGCCAAGAGCAGAGGGGGGTGTCCCTATAGATTGACCGAGGGAGTCAGCAAAGGTTCCCTGAAGGATGTAAGGCTCAAAAGCCAGGTGGGATGTAGCTTAGCAGAGACAAGGGAGTCTATTTGCTACAAAGGATAGTGTATTAACTAGATTCTGAGAACCTGAGTTCAAATCCCAACTCTGATATTAACTGCCTGAATGACCTGGGACAAGTCTTAACTGCTATGGGCCTCAGTTTCCTTATTTGTAGAAAGAGAAGGTTGGATTAGATGAGCTACAAGGTCCCTTTCAGCTTTAGAGACACGGCGTGAGAGATCTTCAAATCCAATCCTCCTCATTCTACAGAGGGGGAACCTGAGGCCCAGAGAAGGAGAGGGCTTGTTCAGTGATCCACAGCAAGTGAAGGCAGGGCCCAGATGTCCTTACCCCTAGGGTGCTGCTTCCATCTGTTGGTTGGTGCCTTCATTGGGATTAGGGGGTGTTGGGCTATGTGTGGGGATAGAAGAAAGGTATCTCAAGTAGCAACTGGGTTGGGCAGTGGGCGTGGGCTGGGGATTGAGGAGGGATCGCAAATCCATGGACCACCATGGACTTGATCCTGCCCCATGCCAGGCTGTCCAGAACGTGGGCAACATGGACACACAGGCCTCCCGAGCCAAGGAGGCCTGGATGGAGCCCCTCCAGCCCGTGATCCAGCAAGGTGTGGCTCAGTTGAAGGAGTTCATTACCAAGCTCATCGACATTGAGGAGAAGGAGGGTAAGGCTCCCTCCCCACTCACACATCTCCAGCCTGGGGTAGCAGGGCCATCCCACCTAGCCTACATGGGAATGCTCTGTGCCCTGGTCCCTGTTGGTGGGCCGTGTGGGCTCTGGCCTCTTACTTAAAGGGTGCGCGTGGCCAGTCGCTCTCGGTTGGTTCCTTGGTTGGGACGGGGTGGTGTTGGTGAAGGGCAGTCTTAAAGATGGTGGACCATTGAGCCAGGAAGACTCCCCCCCACCCCCCATCATGGAGAAAACTCTTCTTGCAAGGCAGAATTTTTGCTGAGACCCAGCTCCCCCAGTTGAGAGGGAGGAGGGATTTCTTTCCCCTCCCATTCCCCAGCTCTGCCACGTACGTAGCAGAGAACATGGCTGCTTATTACCCAGGGAGGCTCTTCCTGTCACCAGACATCTTTGATGGTCACCTGCCATAACGGGGATCAGGGACCGCTGATCACTCACGTTCTTTAGCAAGGGGTCAGAACTCGTGCAGCACCCCTAGAAGAGGCTGGGATACGGTCATATCCCTACGCATTCTCCAGGGGATGGCCTCTGCTACACTGGGAATAGACCCTGTGAGACCCCCAGGTGGCAATGGGGAAAGGAGACAGTGGACCTAGTCCTGATAGGACTCTAGAGACCCAGGGGTAGGCCTGTGGTCTGGGGGAGGGCTCAGCCCAGCCAACGCCCTCCTCACCAGCTGCTCTGGGGCCTGGTCATTTCTCTGGTGACCAGGATGGTCAGAGCACAGATCCAATTTGGGGGGGAGGGGATGCTCACCTGGCCCTGTGCCCCACTGCTTCCTCCCAGAGTTGGACCTCCAGCGAGCACTTAACCTGCAGGCCCTGCCTGTGAAGGAGGGGCCCCTCTTTATCCACAAGGCCAAGGGCAAGGGTCCACTCTTGCCCTCCTTCAAAAAGCTCCACTTTTCTCTCACCAGCGAGGCCCTCAGCTTTGCCAAGACCCCCAGTTCCAAGGTAAATGGGGGCCTGCATTGGGTGCTGGGGAGGGTTGCCCAAAGCATCTTCCTGGCCTTCGCTCCCAGGGCTTCTCTGGATCTCTGGGATGGGGGGGGGAGGTGGATGGTTCATACAAAGGCCCTGGGTCCCCCAGTGCCATCCTGACTCTGGGGCACTCCAGCCTCCAGCAGTGGGCTCTCCTCTGAGCCGAGACCCTTTTTCTTCCTCTCCCCTGGCCTTCCTGCTCCAGAAAATGTCCTTCATCACACTGGCCAGCATCCAGGCAGCTGAGAAGGTGGAAGAGAAGAGTTTTGGCAACTCTCATGTTATGCAGATCATTTATGCAGGGGAAGCAGGCCAGTCTGAGACGGCGTACCTGCAATGCAAGGTGAGACTGGCTGGGTGGGCCCGGTGAGCCCAACCAACCTTGCTTTCCCCATGATACCTTTGAGGGTTCAGAACAGAGAAAGGAATGAAGAGCGAGAATCCCTCCCTCCCCAAAACACACACACACACACACACACACACACACACACACACACACACACACTCACTCACTCTCTCTCCCTTCCTCCCTCCCTCTCTCTTTCTCCCTTCTTCTCTTTCTTTCCCCCCTCTCTCCCTCCCTCTTTCTCCCCTCTCCCTCCTCTTCCTCTCCTCCTCTCCTTCCCCCTTTCTCACTTCCCATTTTCCTTCCCTCCCTCTCTCCCAGGAAACCTCCTCATCCTCAGTGGGTGGGGGCGTGTATGTCCCCATGTGCATGTGTGCATACATTGTGTATTTGTGCGTCTGTGCGTGTGTCTGTGTGTGTATACAGGTGTTTACACAGTGTGCAAATGTGTGTATCAACAACAAACAAAACACTGTAGGATAATCCCTGCCCTCAGAAGGCTCACATTCAATCAGCACACATTTGTTAAATGCCTCATATGTGCCAGGCACAGTGCTAGGCACCAGGGCTACCCAGAATGAAAGCACACCTGCTCCCAAGGGGCTCACCTTCCATCTGCTGTCTACATTGGGAGACGGGCTGGGTTTGTAGTAGATAATGCTAGACTTGGAGGCAGGAAGATCCAGGTTCGACTCTTCCCTGACACTTTCTGGTTAAGTGACCCTGCGTAAGTGCCACTTTCCTCTAACGTAAAAGGAGCGGGGTTGATTCGGCGGCCTTGGAACCCCCTTCTGGAGAAAAGTCCCTCCTCTGGGGTGGGAGCTCCGTCAAGGGCCGGGCTCGTGGGTCACCCTCCGAGCTCCTGGCGCTGGCCTGTGTTGCAGTGTGTGAATGAGCTGAATCAATGGCTGTCCGCCCTGCGTAAGGTCTGCCTCAACAACCAGGGCATGCTGGGCTCCTACCACCCGGGCATCTTCCGAGGAGAAAAGTGGAGCTGCTGTCACCAGAAGGAAAAGACAAGTAGGAGGGCTTGGCCTGGGGGAGATCAGGGGACTGGGGAGAGAGATCCTGGGGTGCCCTGCTCAGTGCAAATGGATGGATATGCATTGTGGCAGCATAATACGGGTTCAGGCTGAGAGTTTAAAGGGAACCAGGGGACAGAGATGGGACAAATACAGCTCTAGGCTAGGGGCTAGGAGGATTCTGAGGAGAGGGAGATAGATCGTGGTCGTCTGGTTGGGGTGTGCAGGGAGATCAGGGAAGACTCCATGGAGGAGGTGGCGCCTTAGATGGACTTTTATGGAAGCGGAAGGAGCATTAACAGCCTGAGATGGGGGTAGAACTCCATTCTGGGCCTGGAGCGATGGGAGCCAGTTCCTACCTTGCACCCTAGACCTTGGTTTCCTCCTTTGTAGAGAAGCAGGAGGGGTGGGTTCTTGGGTGAGAACTGTCCCTCCTCCCCTGGGACCCCAGACCCTAGAGCCTAGGATGAGTAGAGTAGCTGAGGCACCTGAGAGTGTCTTCTGTGCTTCCACTAGCCTGGGGCCAGGCCCCTGCTCCAGTCAGGTTGACAGGGTCCAGGAAGTCTCAAGGCTGCTGAAGCCTGGAACAGATTGTGGGGTCGTGGAGAGAGTGCCGCGTTAGGGGCGACGAGCTTTGATACAGCTCGTGGCTCGTTCTGTGGGGTCTTAAGCAGATTACTGAACTCCCCCGACCTTCGGTCTCACCATCTGTCAAATGGAGACTATTGTCCTGGTTGCCCATTCACCCTCCCCTCTCAGATTTTTCCCCCTATCTCTAGGTGCAGGTAGAATTTCAGAGGCTGTGATGGCTTCTGGACCTGGGAGCCCGGCTTCATTACAGCCTCACCTGCCCGTTATAGTTAATTCTATTCATGCCGGGTGCGGGGCTGATGTAATTGTCCTTGCGATGCCTATAGGGAAACAGGCCTTGTTGTGGGGATACGCCAGGGGCTCCAGCCTTGCAGAGCAAGGGAAGGTAATCTGGCTTCCTCAGGCAGAGAACCAGCCGCAAGCCCTGTCTGTCCAGGACACCTGGCATCCACCCACATGGGGAAGGCAGGATAGGACCCGAGGCGCATTGCAAGGGAAAAACCAGACTGTTCTCCAAGAAAGTCCTGACTCTTCAGCCCTGAAAGAGCCCTTAGCAATCACTTGGTCCAACCTGTCCATTTTACAGATGAGGAAACTGAGGTCCAGAGCAGGATGTGCCTTGTTCAACCTCACACAGTCAGCTAGGGGCAGAGCCCTGCCAAAGGCAGTGCCAACCTGCCCACCTGTTATTGGCTGGCGGCTCATTGCTCTGAGTTATAAAAAATCCCAAGCTTGGAGGGATGTGGGGGATGAGAGGTAATGACCAACCCAGAGAGGTCTGCTTTTTGGCTCTTTTTATTCTAAACTTAATAACCATTGCTGTTGGCTATTTATAGCTCACCTCTGATCCTCACTGGGAGTCAGCTGGCCTCCGGGCAGGCCTGCTCATGGGCTAGGGCTGTACCGTACCCGAGGAAGGGAAAGGAGGGGCACTAGCATTTATTAAGAACCTACTATGTGCCAGGCACTGTGCTAAGAGCCTTACAATCATCTTCTCATTTGATCTTCACAACTCTGTGAGTCAGGTGCTATTATTATCCCCATTTTACAGATGGGGAAACTGAGGCAGGCAGTGGCTAAGTGATTTGCTCAGGGTTACACACTAATAAGGATCTGAGGCTGGATTTGAATGCAGGGCTACCTGACTCTAGGAACAGCACTGGGTCCACTGCACCACTGTGAGGTAGCCAGTGATTTTTTCCTTCCTATAGACCTGCTTATGTGCCTGCCTGCCTTTCTTTACATCTGGGGTTCTTAACCTCTTTGAGTGGGTCTGGTGAAGCTTGAGGATCCCTTCTCAGAATAATGATTTTAAATGCATAAAGAAAACCAGTTACGTTGAGAGTCTTCAAAATGGGTCGCTAGGAGGCGAAGTGGACAGAGCGCTGGACCTGGAGTCAGGAAGGACTGAGTTCAAATCCAGCCTCAGACACTTAATAACTGTGTGACCCTGGGCAAATCACTTCACCTTGTTGGCCCCAGTTTCCTCATCTGTAAAATGAGCTAGAGAAGGGAATGGCAAACTACTCCAGTATCTCTGCCAAGAAAACCTCAAAATGGAGTCACGAGGAGTTGGAGATAACTGAAAAATGACTGAACAATAACAACAAAAGTTTTCAAAATACATTTTTCTTAAGTTCATGGGCTCCAGGTTAAGAGCCCATGCCCTGTGTAAATGTCCCTGAAGAGCCTCCAGCCTTGGTTTTGTGGAAGGAAGAAAGGTTTTGCCTTTAGGTTCTCTCTGAGTCACAGAGGGGGAGCACCCCTGCCTGCTGATAGGGAGTATAAATCCTGGGGCTGCCCCATCTATTGGTTTCTACTCCCCAGGTCTTGTCTTCATCCCACCCACTGGCCCCTGAGGGACAGGTCCCCTCTTAGTGCCTGGCATGTTACACCTTGCTCTTTCCCCCCCCCCCCGTTCCCTGCCACGGGGGACACCTTTTCTTTCCTGTCTCCCAGGTCTGGGCTGTGACAAAACGCGAAACCGGGTGACCCTGCAGGAATGGAACGACCCCCTGGACCCGGACCTGGAAGCGCAGCTCCTTTATAGACATTTGTCGGGCGTCCAAGACACAATGCGGTGAGAAGGGCATCTGTGACCTCCCTCCCCAGTTTGGTCCAGGAGGGAGCTCCCAGGGCAGGAAGCCCCCAGAGCAGGGAGCCCCCAGAGCAGGGAAACCCCAGAACAGGGTGCCTGCTGACCATCTCCCCCTTTTCCTAGGCCTGGTAGGCAGAGGGAACCCAAACTCTTGGCTTCTCTGCCTTCCTGGGCCTCTTACTTCTTTTCTGATCAGATTTAATTAATTTAACCGACATTCATGGATTTCCTATGAGTAAAATCCTCTATTAGGTGGTGCGTCCTAGGGGACCTTTGGGTGGGGCTGGGGCGGGGGGGGGGACGAAGGAGGGAGAAAAGAAGCAATGCAGGGCAGGTCCCTGAGTAGCTTTGACCAGATGGCTCCTAAGTTCCCCCCATTGTCTGTGCCTCATTATGGCTGTGCAAAGACAGTGGTTAGAAGTAAGACCACCAGGATGGCTGTGCTAGACCACTAGGCTTGAAATCAGGAAGACCTGAGTTCAAATTCTTATTCACTATGTGACTACGAGCGAGCCCCTTAGCCTCTCTGGGCCTCAGTTTCCCCTCCTGTAAAATGAAGATGTTGGTCTTGGTAGCCAGGGTTCTGGCTTTCAGGTTCTGAATGCGTGGTCCGATGCCCTCAGGTCTTTGTATGGTGACTGTGACATCTTTTCATGAAGAGAAATGGCACAAGAGACATCCCTCAGTTTTCTCACCTATTAAAAGAGGGAGGTGGATCCTTCCAGATTTGAAATTTCGGATTCTAACTCTCTCACTCAGGGCTTCTGCCTCCCCCCTGGAAGGTGATCTAAGTCGATATTTCAGAGGGTCTGGGTCCTCATTCCTCCTCCAAAGTTTAAAAGGAATGAAGGATATAAACAGGCTCCTTCATGAGAGTGGGGCAGGGGGTCCAGGATCCTATCTTCTCTCCCAGGTCAAAGCTGTGAATCGGAGGGGCAGCTAGGTGGTGCAGTGAATACAGCACCAGCCCTGGAGTCAGGAGGACCTGAGTTCAAATCTAGCCTCAGACACTTTACACGTACTAGTTGTGTGACCTTGGGCAAGTCACTTAACCCATTGCCTAGCCAAAAAAAAAAAAAGAAAAAGAAAAAAAAGTTATGAATCAGGACTCACTGTGGGAAGGCTTGGAGGTTTGGGTAGGACAAGACCAAACCAAGATGGAAATGGATTAATACTAAGGAGAGTGTGCCACCTGCACAAGGTGTAGAGTGCTGGACCGGGGATCAAGAATCCTGGGTTCAAATCCTGCCTCTGACCCTTACTAGCTGTAGACCCAGGGCACAGCATGTAACCTCTCAGAGCCTCAGTTACCTTAGCTGTAAAATGAGGATAATAATATTACCTACCTCCTAGGGCTTTGAGATTTATTTGTGGACTTAAAATGTTAAATAAATGTTAGCTGCTCTTACTATTACTAATCTAAAACCGTTATTACTAATGATTCCTACTACTATTACTATTACTACTACTACTACTACTACTACTACCACCACTACTACTACTACTACTACTACTACTACTACTACTACTACTACTACTACTAATAATAATAATATACATGGTGGGCAGTCAACCAAAGGGTCTTGCAGGTGTAAGAGACGGGGCAACCTTGGTCTAAAACTTGTCCCTTTTCCTTTCCCTCACCAGCGAAAAGTACCTGGAGCTGACTGCCCTGGGGGCTGCTGGGAATATCCCCAACACCCAAAGTGAAGGTAAGACCCTGATAGTTCCTCCCAAGCCCCTTTCCTCCTGTTCCAGGACGAGCTAGCACAGTCCTTCCCAGGTTGAGGGAGGTAGTTTGATGAAGAATTCTGATTCTAGGGTCACAGGACCTGGGTTCAAATCCCACCTGGAACACTTATCTAGGCCTCAGTTTCCTCCTTTGTAAAATAATGGAATTGAACTAGATCTGAGGTCTCTTCCACCTCTAAATATATGATCGTTTCTGTGGGACTTTGGGCAGATCATTTAAAGTTCCCTGGGCCTCAGTTATCCCTTCTGTAAAATGGGAGGGTAGGACGAGCTGGCCTCCTAGGTCCCTTCCTGCTCTGATCCTACGAAAGCCTGGCCCCTTGGAAGGTCCTGAGGCCCTAGGACTTGGAGGCCATACCAGCCACTCTGGGGCTGATCTTTCCCCAGAGCCTGAGGATGGCCCCACCCAGCTGTTCCAGGTGCTCCAGGACTTAGAAGACGCCCATCGCTCCGGTCCTCTGCCTGCAGCAGACCAGGAGAAGAACTATCTCTTGGAGCTGCAGACGTGAGACCAAGCCCTGCTGCCCTCAGGCCCAGGCCCAGGCCCCATCCCCACGCCGTCCATCCCACCCTCTGCCTCCTGCTAGGACTATTTATTCCCAGGAACTCCCTGTCATGCTGGCCGCCTAGGAACTCTGTGCTTTGGAGGTCTTCCTGCGGCCTGGGTGACTCACCAGGCCCCCTGGTCCCCGGCTCCATCCTCACTTCTGCCCCAAAGCTCAGCCCTTGGCTGCAAACCAACACCCCCCTCCCTCATTTCCACGAGCACTTCAGGGGCCTGAGCGCTGAGCAGGGGCTCTTCCCAGGTGTCAGGAGGGCAGTGGGGAAGCTGACAGCCTCCCCGGCTGGGGAGGGGAACAGAGGCTTCCTGGGTGGGTCGTGGGTCCCCAGGCATGGCAGCCCCAGGCCCTCCTCATGGCTTGTCCCCCGTCCTTGACTCTACATTCCATGAGATTCGCAGTGGGGGAGCTTGGAGGGGAAGGGCGGCTGTGATGCCCCTTTAGGACTTGGGGCTTCTAAGAGGTCTCCGGAGTGTGTTCCTCACTCTGCTGACCCCGTGACTGGCATCCCTGGGGAGGAAGTCTGGAGGGCCAAGTGCCCTAGAAGGGCAGCGAGTAGGAGGGTGGCATCTTCTCTGCCTCCGGCCCCCGTTGCCAGCATGGTCGCTCGGCTTCCGAGGCACTCGGGCTCCTGGGGCTCCTGAGGGCCAGGACTCCGGATCCAGCTTCCCGACCCACCCCAGCACAGGGAGCCTCAGGCAGCCCCCCCTTCCTCCCATGCCAGCAGCCGGTCCCCTTAGCCAGGCATCACTGCAGATTACAATAAACTTTCCTCTACCCTTGTGGGGCTGGGCTCTGGTCCTCTCTTTTGGGAGCACGGGAGGGGAGACGTCAGGGGGCTGGGACACGCCAGAGAAGGACATCTGGGGTGGGAGGGGGTAAAAAATCAGACCCTGTAGGAGGCAGTGTTTAGGGAAAGAGACCCAAAGCTGCCTGGTTAAGAGCGATCGGCCGGTCGGCAAGGGTTTATAGAGTAGGCTTCTACTCTGGGCTAGACGCGATGCTAAGGTCTGGGGGCACAAAATCAAAAGGGGAACTGTCCCTGTCCACGGGAAGGCGGCAAGTGCAAGGGGAAGAGGCTAAGGCATTTATATAGCACCTACTGTGTGCCAGGCACTTTCTACAAATATTGTCTCATTTCAGCTTCACGACAACCCTAGGAGATAGGCGCTATTATTGTTATTCCCATTTTTCAGATGAGGGAACTGAGGCAAACTGAGGTGCAGTGACTTGCCCAGGGTCACACAGCTAGGATTTGAATAATATTAATGACTAACATTTCAAAGTGCCAGGCCCTGGGCTAAGCACTTCACAATTAGTATCTCATTTGGTCCTTACAACCCTGGGAAGTCAGTGCTATTATTAGCCCCACTTTTCATTCTCTTTCTTTCTTTCTTTTTCTTTTTTAAGTTTTGAGTTTCAAATTCTTTCCCTCCCTCGCTCCCCGCCCCTACCTGAGACAGTCAGCAATCTGATATAGGTCATACCTATGGAAACGTGTAAAACATTTCCATTTTAGTCATTTAATGTAAGAAAACTCAAACAACAGCAACTGAAAAAAAGAAAGTGAAAAATAGTCTGCTTCGATCTGCCTTCAGACTCCATCGTTCTTTCTCTGGAGGCAGAGAGCATTTTTTGGCCTGAATCCTTTGGAATTCTCCTGAAGCATTACATTGTTGAAAATATTTAAGTCATTCCCAGCTGATCATTGTACAATATTTCTTTTTTTAATATTTTTTGTAAACTCGTGCTCATTTCTATTTTTAAAATTTATTTATTTTTAGTTTTTAACATTTACTTCCATAAGATTTGGAGTTTCAAATTTTCTCCCCCTCCCTCCCCAAGACAGCATACAATCTGATACAGGCTCTACATATACATTCCTATTAAACGTATTTTCACATTAGTCATGTTGTAAAGAAGAATTAGGGCCAACGTATGCCCATTTTACAGATGAGGGAAACTGAGGTTACATGATTTGCCCCTGGTCACACAGTGTCAGAGGCCCCACTTGAACTCGGGTTTTCCAGTTCTTCCTGACTTTAGACCCAGAGCGCTACCCACGGCACCGCCCAGCTGCCTTTGAGAATAGCCAGAGTCTGTAAAGGATTCAGGGGAAAGAGAGAATACTTTTGGCAGAGGGCATCAAGGAAAACTTCTTGGAGGAGGTGGCGTTTGAGTCTGACTTGGAGTGGGTGGGCAGGACACGGGAGGCATGGATAAAAGGTGGGCTGTACAGGTAGAAGGAATATCAGCTAAAGGCCGGGGCAAGCGCTCCACTGCCTTGGCCAAGTTCGTTTTCTGGTTCTGGAACTGGAGGATGAAGGTTGGAATCCCAGCTACCTTTGTGACCTCGGGCCAGTCCCTTGTGGGGCCTCGGTTCCTCCATCTATAAAATGAAGATTTGTGAGATGATCTCTAAGGTCCCTCCCACTCTTAACTTCTCCTGCTGGGCTTCCCTGAGAGCCCAGAGCTTTACATTCAGTCAACATTCAACACACAAGAAGCACCTGCTGTATACCAGGCACCGTGCTAGGTTGCTCTCTTAAGACTGAGGCTACCAGGGTTTTCGGTCCTTGGATGCTGCAGATTCTAAAACGGAGTTGTTCCCTCCTCCTAAGATTCCCATCATTTCTCCACCAGCCCCCAGTTGCCCCTTTTGGGGAGAATCAGATCTAATTTCCTTCGGTATTGCCTCCAGCTACAGAAGAACACAGCCCCCCAGGATGAGGAGGAGGTTTGTGAAGGGTGGGGCACAGCATCATGTCTGTAGGCTGGGAGAGAGTCTGTGGCCGGGGAGACGTCGAAGATGAAAGAGATGGGAATGATTGGTGGGGGTAAACTCCCAGAGAAGAAGAAAAGGGATGGTACCAAGAGGGACTGGCCATCCCAAGGACAAGGACGGTGGAGCAAAGAAAGAGAGGATTGGGGGGGGCGGGGTTTAGAACACAGAACTCTGTGCCAAATTCAGAAGGATCCCCTGGGGCCTCGATCTTAAAATTAAATTTTATCTATGTTTTATTGTATTTTTATTTATTTTGTTAAATATTTTCCAGTTACACTTTATTTTATTAAATATTTCCCAGTTACATTTTAAGAGAGGCCAGAGGGAGAGCCTCTGGGCAGCCTGGAGGGGTGGACAGCCTGAGGTTTGCTCGGGGCAGGAAGGACAAAAAGGAGGTTGAGTTGAAGTCAGGCAGAGGGAGAAGAGAACCGAATGATCAGGGAGGTATCTCAGAGTTCAACAGCATGGAGGCAACGTTGTTATGGGAGAGAGTGAGACAACCTATTCATTGGGTGGAACGAGGGTGTAGCTACCATTCCCTCGGAATGAGTCTAAATGAGCCCAGAGGGCCACCCATCCCTCCCTCGGAAACCTTGAAGGACTCAAGGACATGTGGCCCCAGCTTTACAAACATCCCCGCAGTGAGTTCAATCCCCCAATCAGACTGGAAGCTACTTGAGGACAGGGACTGACATTCGCCTCTTCCGTGCTTAGCTTACTTAGTGCCTACTTCATAGTAGGTGCTTAATAAATGTTGATTGTTACCAATGCAAGACAGTCCGTTCATAAGAGTTGAAAAGGTTGGACTAGGAAGCCAGTTAGTAGAGACCATCCATTTGTATATTGAAGGGTCCAAATGCGAAGGCAGGAGTCAGAGATGGACTGTGAGTCAGGTAGTGAACCCTCCGTCATACATAAGGAAGGATAATTTGGGTAATAAGAGGCTATCACTGTAACAAGAATTTGGACTGGTGTTATTGACCAGAGGTGTCAAGTCCCCGGCCTGAACCAGGTGAACGTATGACTGGGAAATGTTTAACGAAATAAATGAAAATGCAGCATAAATAACCTTAATTTGTGGATAGTGTTGTGTAGATAACGCCAATTTCTAAGTCCATACGCTCCCCTTCTCTGAGCCCCACACCACTGGTGTAGACAGAAGTAAGGTCACTCCAAGGAGAACCTTTAGTGATGTATACAAAGGTCCACCCGGCGTCCCCGTGTTACTTCTTTTGAGCCTCCCAACGCCTCTGTTACATGGATGCGGCAGATGCTACTTTACAGATGAAGAAACTGAGGCTGAGAGGTCTGAGCTACGCAGCGCCTGAGGCGGAATTTGAACTCTGCTCTAAGCCCAGCTTTCTTCCCCACGGCACCACGGGGCTGCCTAGTAAGAGGGGGAAGGAGGAAAGGATTGGGAGGGGCATGCTCAGGCCTCCTAGCGGTCATCCGGCGACCGTGGCAAGGGGGGCACCCACACTGGGGTGGGCGGCCAGGGGCCGCCATCTTCCGGAGGACCCGGCCAAAGCAGGAGGAGGGGGCGACCGGTGAGGAATGCGGCATACGCTGAGACATGATCTAGCGCTGGGAGGGCCCTAAAGACCGTCGATTCCCATCCCTTCATTTAACTGAGGAGGAAACTGAGGCACGGAGAGGGGAGGTGATTTGCCCAAAATGACACAGGAGGTCAGCGGCAGAGCCGGGATTAGAACTCCGCCTCTGCCTGCGTCTCCAGCGCTTTCTAAACCAGGAGCCCGGGTCCCACTGGCTGCAGCGCTGGAGCCGCGTCGCCCCCTCGCGGCGTGGGAAGGACACAACGCCGGGCACGCACGCGCACACACATCTATTGGTCCCGGCCCCCTCCTTGGTCCCGCTGAGCCGCGCATGCGCCTATCTTCCTGTCCCCTCTCCGGCTCCCCCTTCCCTTTCTGGTCCATCTCCCCGCGGAGCGCGTAAATTCCGGTTCCGCCGTGGACGCGCATGCGCGAGCTTCTCTCGGATGCCGGCGTGCCCCGGAAGCGGAAGTTGGGCCGGCTGGGGCGCCCCCGAGGTAGCGGCGGCGGGGGAGGATGAACGCGCCTCCGGCCTTCGAGTCCTTCCTCCTCTTTGAGGGAGAGAAGAAGTGAGCGCAGCCGGGGCCGGGGGCGGGAGGGCCGAGCGGGGCTGCCGCGGGACCCTCGGCAGGAGAGGCCTCCGCTTCCTCCTCGGTGCAATGGGGGGAGTCCACCCAGGAGCGCCCCCGGGCCTCAGTTTCCTCGTCTGCCCTCCCCCAAGACTTTGGGAAGACGAGGGTCAGATGGGCAAACCCGGAAGCCCGCGGGTCACCGCCGGCTCTGAGGTCACGTGCGCTGGACAGCAAGCACCCCCATCGTACAGAGGAGGAAACTGAGGGACCCCGAGCGTCGGAGGCTGGGCTCGAACCCGGGTCCCGACTTCGGGGCCTCCGCCTGATTACCGGCCACGGACAGAAAAGAAGCCGGAGGGGCAGCTAGGTGGCGCAGTGGGTAGAGCCCTGGCCCTGGAGGCAGGAGGATCTGAGTTCAAACCCGGCCTCAGACACTTGACACGTAGTAGCTGTGTGACCTTGGGCAAGTCACGTAACCCCGACTGCCCCACCAAAAAACATAGCAAGGAAGCCGGGGACGCTTGTCCTTGTGGGATGTGAGAGAGGGCTACAAAAACGCGAACGTCCCTGTTTGTGTAAAGAATGAACCTGAACTTAGGGTCGTGCCTCGACTTTCCCCTCTGTAAAGTGAAAGCGTTGGATTAGATGGCGCCCAAGACCCCCGCTTGGCCGTAGCTTCGCAGGGATCCCCTCTGAACCCCGGATCGTTGTTGGGGTTACGGGTGGCTACGGGATTCGCACTGTGTACCTCCCCAGGTGGCTGTAGGGTTAGACGGGCAGCGCCCCAGCCCTGGTCCCTCACCTCTCCTCCTCCTCCCCAGGATCACTATCAATAAGGACACCAAAGTCCCCAATGCCTGTTTGTTCACCATCAACAAGGAGGACCACACCCTAGGAAACATCATCAAATCGTAAGTTCGGCCCTTTGGGCCCAGGAGTGGGTGGGTGGGCAGGCGGCCTGGTGGGGGCTTGTGACCCGACGCCTTCTCCAGCTGCCGGCCTCCATGCTGTCTGAGGGCCCAGCTCTAGCGCCTGAGGAGCCCCCTCTTAGCCTTGGCTCATTGGGTGCTGGTCTTCCCTTGTACGGGAATAAGATCTTTACAGCTGTGAACCCAAGCCTGGGGGTTGTGGCTGCCATCCTCCTTTCCTGAACCCTTCTGGATCTCATGCTAGCATGCTGGGGAAAAGCAGGATTCTCTTCACACTTAACCCCTTAATTCCAAATTCAGAACTTTCCAGCTTATTCCAGAATTCTGGTTCCAGAAGTCATAGTCTCAGGTGAGTTCTTTAAACCAGTTGGGTGCAACCTTCAGAAGTAGAGAAGATGAGACAGCCCTGGGGTGTTTTCTCCTTTGTTTAATTTATTCACATAAAATAAAAGCACTTCATTCATCTGGTGTGAATTAGTCTTCCTGGCTGAACGTTATTCAGAAGCAGAACATCTGTACCCCTCATCACCCTCCCCACCTTTAGATCGCTTCCGCCCTCTGTACTTCCACCAGGGAGCTATGGGGAGAGGTGAAGGTAGTGATCTTCGTCATTTCATCACTTGTGAACATCTAGCCTTGGATTGCTTAGCCTAAAAGAGGGGGAGGTTTAGGAGGCTTAAATTAGGCTGGGAGATCATTCGTACCTAGCACCTGGACTCTTTACTGAGGCTTTCCCACCGCCTGTCTTAACGTGCTGCTGCTAGATCAATCTTCCCCAGATGTTGCTTATTTCATTTCCCTGCTCAAACACCTTCAGTAGCTCCCTGATTCCTACAGAATAAAACTCCTGGCCTGAGTTTGAGGCCCTCCGCGTCTGATCCCTTTTGTTGTTCAGTCATTTTTTTCAGTGGCATCCATCTCTTCAGTGGGGTTTTCTTGGCAAAGATACTGACAACAGTGGTTTGCCATTTCCTTCTCCAGCTCATTTTACAGATGAAGAAACTGAGGCAAACAGGGTTAAGTGACATGCCCAAGGTCACACAGGAAGTGTCTGAGGCCAGATTTGAACTCAGGAAGATGAGTCTTCCTGACTTAAGGCTCAGTGCTCCGTCCACTGTGCCACCTAGCCACCAGGTCTAATCCTTAGGTTACATTTAAAATAATTAAGTTTTTGTTGATAGCTTTTGTCTTTATGTAACCTCTTATTTCTCACTGAAGGAAAAAAAAAACCAAAACAACAAAACTTCAGACTAACCCAACACATCGAAAAGTCTGGCCTTTTATGCAATGTTCTGAATCCGTAGTCTCCCTCCTTTGCAAAGAAGTGTGTCTTTTCTGTGGGGCCGAGCTTGGTTATTAGAATATTGCAGCATTAGGTTTCTGTTATTTTGTTCTTTCTACACACTCTCTGAGGCATTGTGTATTCTGTTTTCCTGCTTCTGCCAGCCTCACTTTGCATCAGTCCATTTAAGTCTTCCCATATTTCTGTTTTCATTTTGGTTACTGTTTCTTACAGCATATGTAATAATTCAGTTGTTTATGGAGCAGTTTATTTAGCCATTTGTCCATCGATGGACCTCTCGTTTCTAGTTCGTGGCTGCGCCTTAGCTGCCTTTTTAGACTTATTTCTCTCTTCATCATATTGAAACTTTTCACAGCAGTGAGGCCAGTTTACTCAAGATCCCCTCCCAGTGTCACGTGTGCTCCCCTGCCTCTGACTCTGCTTGCCTGGTATGTCCTCCCACCCCTCTCCACAGCCTCTCTGACCACTTGAGATCCAACTCTTCTAGGAGGTCTTTCCTGGGCACCGACAGGAAATGATCTCTTTGAACAGGGAAAGTTAAATGCCTTTATTTTCCCCCCAGTATGACCAAGTCCCACGCGTTGCACACAGTTGGTGCCCAGTACATTTTTACCAATATAACTCACATTTCACGTTGACTCATGTTGCTTACTGGCAAGTATGTTACTGTTGCACCACTTTGGCCAGATTCAGAGAAGTATTTGTTCAGGTCTTCTATTTCATAGATCACTGTGGTAGACAGCAGGAGAGTTAGAGGGGTTAGCTAAGGAACATTCCCTGCCCTCGTGGAGGCTGCCGTCTAGCAGGGGCTCAGAGATGCCCAGATCTCTGTGATACCACAGAATACATGACTGCATCAGAGAGCTGCAGACCAGCGCCGTCGGGTCCGGGTTACATCATCACAGCACGAGGAGGTCAGGGAGTCTAGGGGAGGCAGTATTTGGGTTGGGCCATAGAGAAGGAAGAGGAATTCAAAGCAAAGGGGAAGGGAGATGTGTTCTGGGACTGAGCCGTGGGGCTGACAGGAGAGTGAGGTGTAGGGGAAGGGCAGGCACTGGGGTCACTTGGGATGGCATGAAGGCCAGTTCTGGAAGTTTGAGTTTGGCTCAGTGAGAAGACAGGAGAGAGATGAGTGTATTTCTTGGGTTCTGCGTTCTGGTCCGTGTTGCCTTCCTCCACTTTGTCAGTGAATTCATTTTATCCTGTATGATTCACACCAAGAGGCAGCAGTGTAATGTAATGGACAGAGAGCTGGCCTTGGCACCAGGAAGACCTGGGTTCAAGTCCCACCTTTGAAACATCCTGACTGTGACTCTAGGCTGGTCGGTGGCAGAGATGGTGTTGTCTTGTGTTGGTGAAAGGAATTTGCTCACCTGGGAGTTCTCTATACCAGTACAATCCTGGCATCAAACTATTGCTATGGGGGAAAGGGAGGGCGGGTGGGGACACTCTTGTGGGTAAGAGCCTGGAGTTCTGAAGACTGGGAAAGGTCATTTTTACTGAAAGAACTCACTTTGTCATTCAAGGCTCTACCCGAAATGCTGTCAGAAGTTCAGGTGAGCCTATGGGATTTGGGCTTCTTCATCCTATAAGACATCTGTCCCCCAAAATGTTCTGGGTTTAAAAAAACTTGAAAGTCTTGTCCCCATGGAGGGGATGCTGAACTCTGACAACCACACCAATATATAAAAAGTAGAATTGTTCCACAATTACAGAAATTTCCAGCTGGAGATAGTCCAGAGGCCTGCCATACATACAACCTTGGCAGCCTGATGCCACATGTCACAAAAGGCTAAGAAGTTTACCCAGGATGCTTCGATGGCCAGTGCACTCAGCTGGCTCCAACCTCATGGAAAACCTCTAGGCTGCAATCATAGCTAAACTTGGAAAGAGGCGGGGCTGCAGCGGCGCATTTAAAATCAGCGTGAGAAGAGCGGCTTCACGATGATTTAAAGAATGTCTCAAATCTCATGTTCAGTGCCAAGTCACTGCAGCAACAGACATTGCAGACTAAACATTTTTATAACATGTAAAAAGGTGAAGCTTTATTGTAAAAAATGATTAGTTTACTTTGTCCTAAATAATGGAGATACCCCTGTGCCACTGTAGGGTTGAGGGGGTCTGTGTGGAGCAGAGAGCAGATGAGAGCACACAGTGGGAATGGAGCTAGCTGCCCTCATTCTCCATTCATCTGGCTTACTTGGTCTCCTTTTCTGCATTTCAGACAGTTACTGAAAGACCCACAGGTGCTGTTTGCAGGCTATAAAGTCCCCCACCCCCTGGAACACAAAATCATCATTCGTGTACAGACCACTCCAGACTACAGCCCTCAGGAAGCTTTCACTAACGCCATCACAGATCTGATCAGCGAGCTCTCTTTGTTGGAGGAACGATTCCGGGTAAGGAGCGGCCAGCAGCGTGGGCATGAAACGCCCTGCTAGGTCTGGGATTGGGGGGCGGTCACAGGGATGGGCTCATTTGGAGAACAGAATCTTAGAGATGTTCCCCTGATATTTTCTTTCCCGCTTAGAAAACAGCCCTCATTTCTGGCTGCCTGAGCCTGACTTTTAATGTCCTTTCTGAGTGTAGTCTCTAAATTGGAATGCTTTCAGCCCCCGGTGGCATGGTGGTTGTTAACCGTTGGCCTTCCACATATAAACATCAGCCTTGAGAACACTTCTGAGTGTCACCCAGACCCTCTCTTCCCCACCTGGGATATGGGAACAACTAAGTTCGGGTGCTGGTGGGGACACTAGATTAGACTACTCTAGGCCTTTCCCATTCCTGCCACTCAGTAGCATTGTGGCTCTGGTGCTGATGACTTTGAAAGGCCAACAGTCACGAATTCCATAGACACTTGTCTAAGTGGGCACTGATTTCTTATTTTACTACAGTAAAAAAACTGTTATGACATAGCCTAAATGTGTGTAGGCATTTTACTTCTATTTTTTAGAATTTCTATTTATAACTTACCTTGAGATCTGCAACTTGTTTAGGAATCTTAGCCCTGACTCATTGGCTACATTTGTTTTTTCCCCGTTCTAGGTTGCTATCAAAGACAAACAAGAAGGAATTGAATAGTTCTTGATGTCTCCCCCATGCAGTTTCCATAGGAGTAGGGGCACAGAAACTCTTCCTCCCCTTCAATGTCCAGTTGGTATGAAAAACTGAATGGGGAAAACCTTATCGCTTTTCTCTTTGGTGGACAACTCCTGTAATTTGCTCATAAAATGTATTTCTTACTTCTGAGTCACTCTCTTTCAATATCTCAAGTAGTAATTTTTAGCCAGCTTCAAAATTCTGCTTGCCATAAAATCACACAGTGATAGTCTGGCCATAGTAGGCTGGAGACTGTTAGAGGGAGATGGACTCATTAGACAGTTTAATTATAATGAAAGAATAGTCAGTAATGGCTCTGTGTCCAGCTAGAAGGAGGGTTGCCAAAGGGCTCTGTCCTGCTGCTACAGAATTGGGAGACAGACCAGTTGACTGACTGCCAGTCAGGATCCAAAACTCCATCTTGTTTACACCCAATTGCTAGGCACTGGGGTTAAGTGACTTGCCCAGGGTCACACAGCTACTAAGTGTGTGAGGCTGAATTTGAACTCGGGTCCTCCTGACCCCAGGGCCAGTGCTCTATCTACTGCCCTGACCTGTAATTTTTCTTAAAGCAACTGAGTCTCTGGCCATTAAGTCAGGAAAGCAATTGCCTCCTGTCTAAGCTCAGACCTCGTTAGCTCGGCTCTCTTCCCCCTCCACCTCCCTGCTCACAGAACATAAAAACACAGCTCACTTATTTTAATTTGAGTTTAGTTGAAAACTATCCATTTATAAAACGCACGCTTAGGAGAGTCTCACAATTCCCACCACAAAAAGCACAAACCCAGTTATTCGCCCATGCGTCTGGCTGCTAGAGTTTGTTCCAGATGGCGATGATGTTTGTGTCCGTCAGAGCCACGAGATAGGTAAAGGTAGGGTCTGCCACTGCTGTGTTGATTAAGGTTTTGTTCATCTTTTGGCCTCGGGCTGAGAGATCTGGCCACCTGAGAATCTGTCAAAATGCAGAAAAGACTTTAGGTGTATTGTTCATGAGACACAAGCCTCCCCATCAGGGTGAGCAGCGATAATAACTGTAGCTAGGGCGCGTTTCTGTATCCAGCAATGGAAGGGGGGAATTCCGGAACCACAGGTTGTCAGAAATCGCCTTGTCCTCATTTTCGAGATGAAGACACAGGCCCAGAGATGAGAAACGGCAAGCCTTCTGCCCTAGAGAAGTCCTAGCGGGCCTACCTTTGTGGGGGCCACCTTGGCTTGCAAGGGCCGCTGCTGCTCGAGGTACCGCCTGACGTCGTACATCCACACGCTTCCCTCTTCGTCCCCGCAGAACACAAATGCTTTTTCTGCAATCAGACACCATTTGGGGGGGTGAGGTCGGTGCCTCCCCGCTTGTCTGAGACTTTGGGGGTTGGAGCCGAATCAGAATGACTTGAGCGGCTCGGACCAAGAGTCTGGACCACCTGACAACATCCCTGCTTAGCGGGAGGGGGGGGCTGCTCTGCTACCCTCCCCAAGGGCGCCTCCAGTGAGGCCCCAGGTCCTTTCCTTAAACCTCAGCATTGGCTGGCTCAGAACCCCAGCCATGGCCCCAGACCAGTCACCTCCTGAGTGTGCCGAGCTCTCCTTCCCTGAGCCCCCTTCCCCACATTTCTGCTGTCTCAGTGGCGGCCCCTGGCACCTTCCTCCAGCTTTGTGCTTTACCTGGGCAGGTGCTGAGGGTCAGGTAGGGCAGCTGTGTGTTGGACCACGGGAGCTGGGCCAGGATGACAGCTGTCACTTGCTGCTTGTCTTCTCTTCCTGCCAGGGACTGACTCCAGCTCCACAAGCAGATAGAGCCGGGGGTGCAGCCCTTGGAAGCTGCGTGAGAACAAAAGTGGAGCCACCCACGGGCCAGATTTACCACCAACTCTCCCAGGACCTAAGGCAGGGACGGGGAACCTGCAGCCTTCTCGGTCCTTAGATGTGGCCTTCTGACTGAGTCCCAGCTTTATAGAACAAATCCTTTTACTTTGTTAAGGGGATCTGTTCTGTGAAGTTTGAACTCCGTCAAAGGGCTGCTTTTGAGGACCTAGAGGGCCACGTGTGGCCTTGAGGCTACAGGTTCCCTGGCCCTGGTTTAAGGCCTAGGGGAGAAATTTCTGTGGCTTAAGGCTCCCAGGACAGCTCTCTACCCTGCTGCACCTACACGAGCCCAAACCACTGTACTTCCCAGTCCTTCCCAGAGGACCACCTTTCTCATGCTTTGGTCTCCACGGGCCCAGCCTGAGGACATCAATCTGGTGTCTGGGGTAGTTCCCAGGGACTCGGGCCATGGCTGTTCCTCCCTATCAGAGTATGCCCCACTACCCCTGAAGGGTCAACTTGGCGGGTCAGAAATCTGCTTGCTCTCGGGCCACAACCACTCACCCACGACATCTTCGCTCACAAAGCCTAGCCCATCCACTCTCTTGTATGCTTGCCCTGGGCCTTGGGGGAACAGGAACACCATCTCAAAATCTCTACACAAAGTCAAACAATGCCATGTTAATGCAGGAGAAAGGGACAGCTCTAGCAGAGGTCAAAGGGTGGCGTGACTCAGACCCTGGTGGGCTTGGAACACAATTGCCCACGAGGCTCACTGGCTTTCTCAGAGCCATGAGAATAGGTCTTTAGGGGCACAGTAACAGCAAATAACAGACGTGGCTCCTCTAGGATGCCTGGGATGCAAAAGGAGGGCTGATGGGGAAATGTGCTGTGTAAGGCCAGCCCTGGCCTAACAGTATGAGGCTGGGTGGTGTCAAACAGGAAGAATGATGCCTCCATCGCAGGGGGCTTCTCAACAACACATCTGTCACCCCTGGTTCCTTTCTTCCTCCCATCTCCGCCCCATGCCCAGGTCTCCCCCTCACCTCTTCCGGGACTCATTCAGCCTGATGTCCCAGGCGAAGCAGCCATCCTCACAGCCAGCTAGCAGGTAGTGGTCAGGGCAAGAGGGCACTGGGCAGAGACGCAGGGGGGTGGTGCTGGCGTCCAGCACGAGGAGTTGGCTGAGGGGAGGGAGGGAGGGAGGAAGAGTGTGAGCTGCCCCTACGGGCCTTCCTCCACCTACCTCTTAGCCTGGGCTCTGGGGAGAAGGCTCACCTGGGCCTGAAATTGTAGCTGTAATCAGGGAGGCCGATGTCCCAGAGGATGATACGCTTGTTGTACGAGGCGGCTGGGGAAAAAGGAGGAAAAGGGTGACCCTTCTCCAAGCCTCGGGCCAAGGCTGAAGCCTGGCCGCAGCTGAAGGCCCCTTAGAGCCCCAGGAGGGCCACCGAGGGCATGGCTTGCCAAAGGGCAGGCAGTGAGCTTCCCAGCAGCCCTGGGTCTGACAGGATGCAAACGCCTTGGCAGCAGGGACGCGTCCATCTTTGGCATCAGTATCCCTAGCAGCCAGCATGCAGTAGGCATTTAATAAATGCAGACTGACAGACCACCTGCCCTGCCTGGGGCTTCTCAGGAGGTTCTGGCTGCACTTTCCACCTTGGTAAGCCGGGCAGGGCAGGGGCGAGATGTCTTACTGAAGAGGTGGGTCTCTTGGGAGGGGCTGAAGCAGGCCATGGCAATGGGTTTTCGGTGGGCTCGGATGTCTCCATAGCAGAAACCTGCACGCACGTGGATGAGGCTCACGACGCCACGCCGGCCTGCAGCTGCCAGCACACTGCTGCGCTTCTTTCGTCCATCCTGAGTCACCAGGGTCAAGCAGGTCCAGGCCACGGTGAAGAACTCCTGGGGAGGATGCAGAGGTGTACTTTGGGGAAGGTGGCCGGCCTCTGAGGGCTGCACTACTCCCTTCGTCCCACCCATGAGCACCATTACCTCGTCTAGTTCTGTCATGCTCATGGAACTGAGCCCCCCCCCCCCCAACCCCACAGGACGGAGGCCAGCTGGCCTGGGCACCTCCTGGCTGGCCCCCTCAAAGGCAAGAGGGCACTCCCCCCACTGAAGTCTTGTCAGTAAAGAAAAGGACACCCAGAGCATCCAGCTGACCCGCTGGGAGCAGAAGCCGCACCCCCACTCACCTCTCCAGGCACCTTGTACCTGTGGAGCACGAGGCCCGTCTGGCAGTCGATGACGCACACGGCCTCCCCGCCACAAGTGGCCACTGTGTGGGATGCACCTCCGGGCAGTCCTGGAAGAGGGGGAGGGTGGGCAACCGGCAGAAGACAAGCAGCAGGTGTGACCTCCCCCTCAGCCCAGTGCGAGGCGGGAGGGGCGGCTCACCTGTGCCGTCATTGCAGGCGGGCTCAAAGGCGCAGGCCCACAGCTGGGTGCTGAAGTCCTCCGGGCTGTTCCCTTTACTGTGGCATTGGAGGAAGTGCATGGGCTGCAGCTCCATAGGCTCCTGCAGAGGAGCCGGGATGGGGTCAGGACGCGGGGCCGGAGGGAGCTCGGCCTCGCTCCCACCCTTGCCTCCGCCGCCTCCAAGGCCTTACCTGGCCCTCTGTGTCCATCTCGCCTTGGGGGCCCTCAGCCAGGACAGACTGTCCACAGCCAGGGCTGCTTGAGCGGGAGCTGAGGCTGGGCTCCCTGGGCACGGGCTGGGAGTCCTGGGGGGGTGGGGAGGGGCGGGCCCGCTTGCAGGGAGGGGGGTCTGATGGAAGCCTCTTCTTCCATTTAAAGGCCGAGAGCTTGAGCTGTGGGAAAGGAATTTTGGAGCTTCAGTGGAGCGAGGACACTGCTGGCCAGAGACTGGGATGCCAAGAGCTCGAAGACCACAAGCCTCAAAGTGACGAGGTCTTCAGGGACCCCTGGATCCAATGCCCTCATGTTTACAGATGAGAAAACAGCCTCAGAGAGGGGAAGGGACTCCCCTCAGGTCTACTCAGCTGTCTCTGAGTGACAGCACGCAGCAATGCTGCCCCCCATACCCTCCTCCGCTCCGACTTCGGACGTCCAGGCTTCCTTTAAATCCCCACTAAAACCTCACCTCTAGGAAGCCTTCCCCAACCCTCTAAATTCCAGGGCCTTTCCTCCACTCATCCTGACTACAGCTCACTCTGTATACATTTGTTTGCATGTTGAGCTAAGCATGATGTCTGGCACACAGCAGGTGCTTAATAAATGTTTACTGATTGGGTGGAATTGGAACGCGGAATCCCTGGCTCCAGCAGTGTTCCTCGGGCTCGGCCTGCCAACCCTGCCTGTGCAGCACTAGGATTTGATATTGGGTCCTGCTGGGCCTCAGAGAATGTCAACTGAAGCATCAATCTGGATCTGAATCCTGGGGCCAGGCTTGGGTCTTTAGGGGCGAGGCACTTGGGCCCAGAGGCTGAAGAACTAAGGGGCACCACGTGGGCACTGTTACAAATCCTCCCCCTGGAGGTGGGGTAGAAGGGAGAGAGGAAGAGGGCCAGGCCAGGCGCAAGCCACTCCCTCATGTGATGGGGATGGAGGCCAAGGTCAGACAGCAAAGGGAGGAGGGGGGGCGGAGCTCAGGCGCTAAATCGCCTCCTGGAGCCTGGCGGCCCCAGACTTGATGTCACCATCCGCCACTTTCTGGCTGGTAACCACACGCTCCCTGAAAGTAAGGCCCATGTATGGCAGGCCTTGGCCAAGACTGAGGAGGAGGGTCTTACCACATACTCTTGGCTGGACGCTCCCGCTGGGGTTGCCGGGGTCCTTGGGGTCCCCGCCGGGGTCTCTGGGCTCGAATCATCTTCCCTGGACACCTCCTCTGAGGGTGCTTCCTTCCTGGTCAGCTTCGAGGCCACCAGCTGCTGGGCGATCATTTTCACCTGGGTTGGGGCAAAGTCCATCTAGTCAACAAGCATTAAGATTAAGTGCTTAGGCTGTGCCAGGCCCCGTGCCCCGTCCCTGGCCTCCGGAAGCTGCCCACAGCCCGAGGGGCAAGACCATGTGCAAACAACCGGGATGTACAAGCATCTGAAAAATGCTATGTGCTGGGGTCTAAGAGGAGAGAGTGAGAGCACCTGTGAACATCAGTCCCTATGGAATTAGCAAGAAACATTTATTTACAGCAAATGTAACCCCTCCCACTGTAAGAGGCAGTTGGGGGCACAGTGGATAGAGCACCAGGCCTGGAGTCAGAAGTCCTGAATTCTTACTAGCTGTGAGATTTTGGGCAAGTCACTGAACGCCTTAGTTTTCTCCACTGTAAAATGGGGATAAGAATAGCACCTGCCTCCCAGGGTTGTTGGGAGCATCCAACGGGGAGGAGGGTTGCTGAACTCAGATCAATGGTAATGAACAACCTTGGGTCTGGAGAACAGAGGACCAAACCACCCTTTCTTCTCTCTGCAGGGGATGAGGGGGACCGTTTGGGATATTGTGGATGTGTTTCTTTATTGTTTCTGTTATAAGCAAGAGTGGAGAATGGGGTCACATGAAGAAATGACTGGTTATTTTAAAAAGCATTAATAACAAAAGTAAATTAGGAAAAAAAGAAATGTAAATGTGCTCATTTAAGCCAAGCCATATGTTCTGTAGGTAACTCGAGGGATTTCAAATGTTTAAAAAAATGCTCTCACCTGGGCCTACAGAAGTGACAGGCGGGTTTATCTGTAATTGGGGATTTTCCAAACAGTCAAAGAGAGATGATGGGATTTCACAAATGCAGAGACAGAAGAGAAAGGAGCCTGCCCAGGTTACACAGTGACACAGACAGGGTGCCACCTGAACTTACCTTCCACTGCGTGAAATCACTCAGGGACTCGGGCCCGTAGCGAACGTCTTTGACTGCAGACTTCACAAACTCCTTGTGGACGTCCCCGGCTGGGGCCCCGGAGCCCAGCTGATCTTGGTAGTTCTTCTCCCAGTAAGCAGTGACCTGGGCCAGGCCAGGGGAGATGAGCAGAAAGGGTCTGTGGGTTTGTCAGGTTACCTCCCACCCCCTAAATCCAGCCCTTCCTGAGCTACCCCCCCCCCCTTCTCTTGTAGATCAAATACCTTCTCCATCTCTACACTCACAACTTTCATGGGCAAAAAGGATAAAGCTCAAGCAGGGTCAGAGCTGGGAGGACCCTTCAAGGCCATCTATCAGCCTGGGGCACGAAAAGCTTAGAAGGGGGCAACAGGAAAAGTTGGGTGAACCTCAGAGCTGCATCTGAAACAAGACTTTCCAGCAGCTCAGTTATCTGGTTTCTTTGGCCTCAGGCAGCTACAGATGTGAGGAGCAGGAGCACCAAGGGAGGAGATGGTGTGAGCAGCCACTGGGGCTCGGGCTCTGGGGTCTGGCTAGTGCCTAATAGCCAGAGCAAAGACAAATGAGGCTGGGGTGGGGGGAGGGGGGGTTTCAGGCTCTTTATCATCTCTTGGGTACCCCCATGATCATTTCTCCCCACCCCATTAAGCCCTGTCATTAAGCTGACCCAGCGACCACAGTTCACGGTGCAGGACCTTCCGGGCCTCTGCCAGGAGGCAAGGGGCTACGCTTCCTCCTCAGCTCCCCAGGAACAGTGTAGGCATTACAGTCCATCAACCTCTTGGGGTTGTCACTGTTTATGTGAAACCACTTCTGATGCCCATAGACCTTCCAGAAAGGTCTCCCTCCGGGGCCTCATGGTGTGGAGGGGACTCTGTCAGCTCTAAAGTCCAGATGAAAAGGCCCCAAGGACGGCTCCAGCCACAAATGCTGCCTGCCTTCCGAGCGCTAGCCTGGCCCCCACTGATGTTTGCTACCTGGGTAACTCTGGGTGAGTCACTTCCCACTGGGCCTCAGTTTCCTCATCTCTAACATGAGGACATGGCATGTGAGGGAGCCTAAGGTCCTTCCAGCTCTAAATCTGTGATCCCACGATGCTCTGAGGTCCCTCCAGCTCTACAGGTAGGGTCCTAAGACCAGGGAGGCTCATCACCAGTATTCTGACTCCTTGATGATACATTATTTGGTCAAGAGCAACCAGGAAATAAGAAAATACGTGCTGAGAAGTGGGAAAGGGGCCAAGAGTTTAGGTGGCCTATAGATAACCTTAACATAACTGCCTGTGTTCCAAGTGTGTGAGAACCTTGTCCAAAAGGGTAGGTTGGACTTAGAGGGAAAACCGAATCCAGATGCCAAACACTCTCCTGCCCGAAGGCACTTGGGATTCAGTGGAAGGCCAACTCTCTAAAAGAACAGGTGGAGTCCATTGATCGGAGGCTTAAAGGTAACAAGAAGCGTGTCACGACACATTTCATCATCTCATCTTGCACAACCACACGAAGACCGGCAGTTTAGGCCTCCGCACCTGTGGCACAGGGCCAGGCACTCTCTGAATTCAGAACTTGGTCAGATGCTGCTCCAAATTAAATCAACAGACACTCTAATATTTAGTGACTTCATGGTAGAAGCAGACGTGGGGGAGGATGGCAAAGGAACATGCTGGAGAATCTGGGCCAGGAGGAAGAATGGAGAGGCCAAAGGCTCTAAAGCAAAGAAGCTGCACACCGGGAGAGGGAGCATGGATACTTTCTTCCAGAAGAATTAGGAGGCACTGGATGTGACCACTGGGCACAGAGGACGAAGGTCAGGATAGATCTGGTTACCAAGGAGGGCGGCGATTCCAAATCAGGTGTTTGAGTACAATTAGACAATTGTTAGCACAAAGATAAAAATCATAGCACCAAATCAGATGAAGAAAAGTGAGAAAATATGGCCTGCAAATGAAATAACTACAGCCCAACCTATTAACAACTTACTGACAATGAAAAATGGGAAATGGGTAAAGAAGCAGGCACTGGCCCTGAGCATCACCATTGACTAAGGAAGTTCAAACCTTATAAATTAAATCATTACAACAAGGAAGTCAAAAAAGCATAGAAATCACCAGCCAAAAAACACTTGGTCTCCTTGCCAAGAAAAACATGTCAGCTAAGGGCAACAATGGTTTAAATGGAGGTGCCAAACTCGGGGCCCTCCGTCAGAACCAGATTAAAATGTAATTGGGAAACATTTAACAACATACGTAAAAATATAACATAACACAAATAATATTAATGTGTCATTTTCTAGGTCAATAAGCCCAGGCATCCATTTCCATTTAAGTTTGATAGCACTGGTTAAAACAGTAACTTACTTGTAAAAATCTCATGAAACAGCAACAACCATCTGGAGGGAAAAGATCCAATACATCACACCCATCAAAGCAAGACGGGGAAAGAAAGGGCAGGAAATGGATAAGAGATGGGAAATGTAGGTCAAGATTTCTACAGCAAACAGTTTTCTGTCACTCATACTTAGAGTAGAGAACTGGTGGATAACCATCATCCCAGTCTTCTGAAAAGGGAAGAGAATGGAATCTGCAAACCACATGTGAGGGCTACCGAAGTTATCATCAAAGAGACAGCCAATGAGCAGAAATGGAAATGGGGATGGCAGTCACCAAGAACTTGCCTGGGCCTCACTAAAAACGGGGCAGCTGGCCCACTCATTTCTTTTTTTAACAGGATAACTAAACTGGTAGAACAGAGGGATAGTGTAAATGTGGTTTAACAAATGCTAACGCCTTGGTAAAGTGTTTCATGCTATTCTTACAAAAAAGATGGAGCCATAAGCTGATTAGAGTACCTTTAAGATAGATTCAGAACTCACTGAACGGCTGGACTCAATATAGACAGTTTTATGTCCGCTTGGTGGAATGCCCCAGTGACCTCTGATTGCCCCTGGGGTGTTGAACATTTTTATCAATGACACAGATAAAGATCTAGACAATGTCTTTATCCAGTTTCAAGATAACACAAAACTAGAAGGGAGAGCTAACACACTGGAAGACAAAATCAGCATCCCCAAAGAGCTTGAAAAGCCAGAATATGAGGATGAAATCTAATAAGATTGAATTAAATAGGAATCAATGTAAAATCTTACACTTGGGCTCAAGGAACTGATTTCACATGGAGACAAGCAAAGAGGACATAGCCTGATCAAAGACATGGTGATGTGAGAGATAAATGATGTCTACAGAAAATAAGGAGAATACCAGTTTGGTGAGAAGATGACGAAGTTAAGGAGTCCAAGGTTTCAAACTTGGATGATTAGAAATATGGCCTAGCCCTCAATGAAAAAAGGAAGCAGGAGTGTATTTAGTGAGAAAAACAACGAATTCCATTGGAGACACCCTGGGTTTGAGATGCCTACGGGGCATCTCAAAGATGGCTGGTGTTGGGGGCCTAGAGCTACATCAAAATATTGAAGTAGATACTGTTTCCTCAGGCAGGGAGACAGTGAAGAGCTATTAAGAACAATTATAATAGACCAAATTTCTGAGATGATCCACTCCCCCCAGGGCATCTCATTCTCCAGTCACTGTAAGGATTAGGGACAGCAGCCAGGGCAGACCCCTTGGCAGGCAGTCTGGTGAAGCCTCTGCTGGACCCCCTTTTTGCAATGTTTTAAAAATTAAAGAAAATACTACATTTCAGCTGAAGATGTGTGAAAATAAGGATATATATTTTTTCTCATCTATATCCAAGGACTCCTGGAAATCTATCCACTTATAGACCCCTAGAGGTTCCAAGAACCCCTCTTTAGACAAACTCCTGAATGATAAATCTGTGAAAATATAGTCAAGGTCAACTCAGGCACTGGGGGCCGTGTCTGACCTGTGAGGACAGCACTGGCAAGACTTCCAGTGTTTCTGTCAGAAATCATTATGGGGGCGGGGAGGATTGTTTGCTGACCTCAGGGGAACATCTTGAGCTTAGAACACCAGACCAGAATTCTATGCAGGCCCCAAAAAGGTTCCCCACTCCCACCACTTGCCATCCTTACTCGGCTGGTCAGTTCCCGGTTCAGGATTTTCACATGATTCATAAGTGAGGCTGTTTCCTTCCCATTGATTTTTCGGATGTTGGGGAGGAGGGAGGAGATCTTGTAACTGTCATTGACCTGGGGATGAATACAGACAAGTTCACACAAATTCTTTGCCACCAACCCAAACCTCAAGGTACCAAGTCCTAATGCCAGAGGTAAATGGCCCCCGAGAGATCAGCTGATTACATCCTCCTCACCTCCCTAGCCCCCATCCATTTTACACCGCAGCAAACTGAGGCACATAGCCAGTCAGTGGCACAGCCGAGTCTCCTCAGGCCCAGGCTGGTTTGGTCCCCTTTCCACTGGACACCTGCTATAAACTCCCCGAGGGCTCTTTGGGGCTCTCCTCCAGGGCTTGGCACAGAGGGCCACTGCCCAGCTCATCTGACCTCTTCTGCCAGGCCTGGCTTCTAGGTGACACCGGAGGGTTCTGAAGGATCAGCTTCCCCATTCCTGGAATGTTCTCCCTTTTTACCAAAACCCTCTCTTCCTTCAACACTTACAAGAAACCTCTCCTGACTGCCCCTGCACCTAGAGCCCTCATTCCTAATTACTTTGCGTTTATTTTTTATTTGTTCTGAATACTCCTTTATGTAAACATGCTGTCTCCCCTATAAACTGTAAGCTCCTTGAGGGCTGGGGCGGCTCGGTTCTTCTGTGTGGGTCATCGTCACGCGCATCCCTCATAGCACCCAGCACAGGGCCGAGTACCATAGAATCATAAACCGAGAGCTGAAAGGACCTCAAAGGCCATCTGGTCAGTCAGCACTTAATAAGCACCTACTATGTGACAGGCACTGTGCTAAGTGGTGGGGACAGAAAGAAAGGCAAAAGACGGTCTTTGTTCTCAAGTGTAATGGGGGCGACAGCATTCACACACATATGAGATTACAGACAGGCTTATTTTTTAATGTATGTGCATGTATGTGTACACATGTAGACAAAATATAAACACACGACATATACAGAAGCGATACACACAAAAGCACGATATGTAAGCGATACACAGAAACACATGACATTAACATATATGCCTGTGCATTATACTATGTGTACATGTGTACACACAGGCTAAACTGGGAACACAGGGAAAGCACTGGATTAAGAAAGATCCAGTCCAATTGGATGAGGAAATGGGAATTTCTCCATCTGTAGAATGAGGCCGATAAGGTCATTAAGCGTCAAAGGTGGGATACGAATACTCTACTGTACTCCTCCTGGCTTTAGAACTCTTTCCCCCCCTTCCCTCACTCTTCCCACAATCACCAGCACCCCCCACGTGGTAAATGCTTCCTAAATAAATCCTGGTTGATGACTGGGCAGTGAGAACAGCTCCAAAAGGGGCCTCCGGCTCACCGTCAGGTACAGGTTGTCCTCAAAATCCACCTCCTCCAGGGCAGTAAACTGCTGCAGGGGGGTCACATCCTCCAGCTGGTTGTTGGAGCACTTGAGGATCTGCAGGCTGGGGAGGTCCAGGCCCTCGGGCACCTTCTCCAGCAGGTTGTCAGACAGATCCAGCTCCCTCAGCTGCTTCATGCGGTTGAGGAGTTTGAGGTCCAGGTCTTTTGTCCGAAGCTGGAGGTTTGACAAACTGTGGCCGGGAAAGGGTGGAAGGGTGGGTGGGGGGAGGCTCTGGAGGGCTGGGCTCCCCAAACTGGTGAAAACCAGGGCGCTTTCTTCTCTCCCCAACCAGGGAGTGGGGGGCAGCTCCCTTCCCGAGGGCAGCCTGCTTCCCCGGGATGCCCTGCACCGTCCCTGGGGTCCAGACCGCTGGGGGGGAGATGAGGGAGGACACAGCGGTTGGGGCACACTCGGACACGCATCAGAAGTAGCTCTGAACCCCTGCACTCAAGGAAGGCGAAAGGATTTCTGTCGGCCCCTCTGCCCATTGCTCCCCAGGGGAGCCTGGAAGCCCGGGTCACCCAGGGCACTCTTCGGGCTCCCCATAACAAGGGGGCAGAGCACCCGGACGGCGAAGGAAGCAAGGGGTGCGAGAGGCGGCGGCAGCAGACAAGGGGAGGGGAGAGGAGGGGAGGGAAGGCCCGGCCCCCGCCCCATCCCCCATCCCGGACCCTCACCCCCCCCTCCCCCACCGTCAGCGGCCCGAGCAGCCCCAGGCCCAGGACCGGGGGCTGTGAGATGGGGCAGGGGTGCGGACTCCGCAGCTAAGAGGGAGGCACGGGGCAAGTGACCCGGAACACGGCGGGGGCGGGGGGCTAGCGCGGAGCCGCCTCGGCACAACGGCTCAGGGACTCGCGGGCCGTCGGGGCGGATACAACCCCGCAGGGGCTGAAGCAGCTGCGGGACGGCAGCGTTCGAACGCTCGCGGCAGCGCGCGCGCGCCCAACACACCCGGCAGACAGACACAGACGCGCACGCGCACGCGCACGCGCACACAGGCACCGAGGGCCTGACAGAAGCGCCACGCTGACGCACGCTCACCGGCAAGCAAAGGCACCGTGCAGAGGCACTCGGGCACGCACGCGCACACAGGAGCGCCACGCTAACGCACGTACACGCGTGTCCTCCCCCCCCCCCCCGCACAAACACACGCATACACACGTACGCGCGCGCGCGTCCCCAACCGCTCTTACTCGAGCTTCTTGATCCTGCCGAGCCGGTCGCACTTGGGTTGGCCCCTCTGCAGCAGCAGCGGGGTTTTGAGCCGGCCCATGGCCGCCGGCCTCTGCGGGCGCACCCTGCCTCCCTGTCGCGAGGCCCCGCCTGCCCACGCCGGCTGCCGCCTGGGGCTTGCTCCACGAGCTCCCCCGGAACCGGGGCGGGGGCGACGCGGGGGCTCGGAGCAGCGGCCTCGGCCTCGGCCTCTGTCGGGCGGTTCGAGCCGGAGAGGTTCGTGCGGCGTCGGCCGGAAGAGGGCCCGGCCGAGCAGGATCCCACGTGTCCTGGCCCCGCGGGACTACCTCTCCCGGCGGCCCCCGCGGCCCGCGCCTGCGCACACGCCCCGCTGAGGCCGCCCGCCCGGCGGCGCTCTGGGCGCCTGCATGGCGACGGCTGGTGGCGGGAGCTGGGGCGGCTGCGGGGCGCGACCCCGAGGCTGCGGCTGCAAAGGGGTCCGGACCTGCCTGCTGTGCGAGCGGGAGCCAGGCGGCGGCGTGCCCGGAGTCCTGCCTCCGCAGGTGGGAGCGGGCTGGGCGGGGTGGGGGGGGGTTCCACCTCCCCGGACTGGGACCGAGGGCGGATCGCGGCACTGAGGCCCCCCCCATTTGTGTGGCGTCGGGCGGGGCCCTTCGCCTCTGGGTTCCTTCTGTCAAATGGGGGCGGGCGCCTGCCGTCATTAGCGCCGTTTCACAGATGGGCAAACTGAGGCCAAGAGTCAGCTAACTTATGGGCTGGAATTCACTGCTGGCGCCGGCCTTGGAGGACGCGTCTCCATCCCCTCCCCCCCTTCTCCCCCTGTTCCCCCTCCCCCCCCCCAGCATCCTCAGCTCCATCCCTCCAGCTGTGCTCCATCTTCCACCCCTGGACTCCTCCCGGGCACTGGGTGGGGGGGGTCTTCTGCCCTTTGTCCTCTTGTTGCCTCTCCCAATGAGGGGAGTGGGCCCAGAGGCTCCCGGCCAGGCTTCCGTTGCAGGGGTGGACCTCGGTGGCCCTGGATGGAAGGACTCCGTGGTCCTTCCTCTGGTCCTCACTCCCTGGTGGGGGGTGGGAGGGCCGAGCTCAGCTGTGGTCACGCAAGGCAGCTGCCCACCACGCCTGCTGCCCCACCTCTGTGGATTTGCTCGCCTTGTTCTCTGTGCCTCCAAGGGCATCTTGTTAAATCCCTGTCTTCTTTCCAAGCTTACTTCAAATGCTGCCTCTTCCAGGAAGCCTGCCTTGATCCCTTCAACCTCCCCCCACTGCTCCTATAACTAGATTGAACCTTTCCATGCTTTGTGTTGTGTGATGGATGCACACTTCTATGTGAGTCCAGACCCGGATCGAATGCTAAATTACTAGACAAGAAAGCCTGGGCCTGTTCATGGTTGTGGAATTTGTTTGTGGGCGTCTTGGGTGAAGTCTTCAAAGGGCTGATGGGCACGGACTGACTAGAAGAGGATGGAGGAGGAGGGAACAGAAGAATTAGCAGCAGGAGGCACTCAGGGGCTGCAACAGAACACTCGGGTCACACTGTACGGGCCTGAGGAAAGGTCAGGGGAGCAGGCTGTGAGGGGTTCAGCTTGAGGACCTTTCATGGCACTGCCAGGCTGAATGCCAGCCAGGATGAGGCAGGGTGGTAGAGTGGGAGCAGGCAAGGGGCAGAGGAGGAGAGACTTTGATATGCTGGAACCCAGGAAGGGCAGAGAGAAATATATCATTAAAGCATTACAAGCTTCCTGGAAGAGCAGGCTGGCATGTGAGATGTAGATGCTGCCAGAGGCAGCTAGGTGGTGCTAGGGACAGAGCGCTAGGTTCAAATCTGGCCTCAGACACTTACTAGCTGTGTGAGCCTGGGCAAGTCACTTCACCTGTCTGCCTCAGTTTCCTCATCTGTAAAATGAGTATCATAATAGCACCTCCCTCCTAGGGTTGTAGTAAGGATCAAATGAGATAATAATTGTAAACTACTTAGCACAGTGCCTGGCACATAGCACATGCTTAATGAATGCTTTCTTTCCTGGGGAGGACAGAAGGAGGTCAAGGAGACTTGACTCTTGAAAATGAAACTTTCTCATTCAGGACCTTGTGTCTTTTCCTTTGCAGAAGACAGCCCATTTCATCTACTGTTTAGAAACGGGTTTGGCCGTAGGAATGGAGGAATCAGAATTTGCCGGCTGGGCTTTTCCTTTCCCAGGAGTAGCTCTGATAAAGGATTTTGTTAGTGCTGAGGAGGAGGCTGAGCTGGTTCGGTTAATGGATCAAGATGACTGGAAACTTTCACAGTCTGGAAGAAGGAAACAGGTATGGCATCTGCTGGTGCATTGCCGCACTTCCTTCTTTAGTGTCCATCTCGCTGTGCTGCAGCACTTCCCAGGCGTGCTGTGCACTGATAACAGCGCCCTCCCCTGAAGTCTCCAGCAGAAGCCCAAGCAGCCCCCGGAGACCATCTCCTGAGGTGTGCAGGGAGCCCAAGCCCCGTAAGCACAGAGGGTGGAAGCACTGGGGGCCCCGCGGTACAGAGCCAAGTGCCTGTCATCGCACCATGGCCAGTTTGGGTCTACAGACATCCAAGGTGGAAATCCAGGCTGTCTGGGTGTCTTTGTTCAACTCCTTAGGCACTTATTTCAGATTTGTTTAATAAGGAAATGTGCTGGCTATGAAATTTTTCCAAGTGAAAATCACCATTCCTTTCCTCCCTTCTATAGGACTATGGCCCCAGAGTCAATTTTAGGAAACAGAAGCTGAAACCTGGCAGCTTCGATGGCCTACCCAGCTTCAGCCGGGAGATTGTACAGAGGATGGGGACGTACCCCATCCTAGAGACGTTCCTGCCGGTTGAACAGTGTAACTTGGACTACCACCCGGAACGAGGCTCTGCGATTGACCCCCACTTGGATGACTCCTGGCTTTGGGGAGAGCGGCTAGTCAGCCTCAATCTGCTCTCGCCGACAGTGCTGTCCATGTCTCGGGATTCAGGTGAGAGACTTCAGTTACTCTCTGTGGCCCAGCAGGGAACGAGGAACTCTGTGCTGAATGACACAAAGCCGGGAGACCCTGAGGATGCCCAGAGCACCTGGCGATCTGTTCCATGTGACCACGTGGAAGTGGCCGTTCCCTTACCTGCTAGGTCCCTGCTTGTGTTGTTTGGAGCTGCCCGCTATCAGTGGAAACATGCCATCCACCGCCGGCACATTGAGAGTCACCGAATCTGCGCCACCTTTCGGGAGCTGTCAGCTGAGTTCTGTCCTGGAGGAAAGCAGGGAGAACTAGGGCAGGAACTCTTGGAAATAGCTCTGTCGTTTCAAGGAAAACCCGTGTGACAGGCCCCGAGAAAAGGAGCCAGCACCCAGACTTGTCAAGAAATGAGTCCAGGACCCGGCAGTGCCGACGTGCCTGGAAACACCGGATTCACGATAGGATCGCTTGTCTTAATTCGGCCGCCCTCGAAACCCCAAAGTCAAACGTGCCGTTGTCTCGTCCTCCTCTGTTGTCAGGGCAGCTCTTGGGAATTCTCATCTTTCCTTGTTTTTGTTCTGGAGGGAAGTGAGGCTGAGGGCCTCGAGGGTCCTTAAAGGTGGAGCTGGAGAGGGCAGGAAGAATTGTGGTGACGCAGCCTTGGCCGTGCTGCCCAGGAGGGGCCAGGCTGCTCACAGGGCACCCTCCTCGTACCTGGGTCTTGGCGGACCTTCGCTTATCAACGTTTCCATTAGCGAAAAAGGCCCCTGACTTACTATATCTACCTCACCCAAATCAATGTAAGACTGGTGGGGTCATTCTAAATATACACAGCATTCCGTGGAAAGATGATCTATGTCATTAAACGTGTATTTTTTTAAGTTCTGAGAAGGTGATGGAGGTATGAACCGTCTGTTCTCAGTTCACTTGGATGTCAGGCTTGCTGCTAGTGAAGTGGCCCCAGGCTGAAGCCACGCAGACCTAACATGGGCTGGGCAGCTTTACCTGGGGCAGGCTTGGGAGAGGCCCGCCTGACTTTCAAGAATCCTCGTATGAGGGGCAGCTTGGTGGCACGGTGGATAGTGCACCGGCCCTGAAGTCAGGAGGACCTGAGTTCAAATGCGGCCTCAGACGAAACACTTGACACTTACTAGCTGTGTGACCCTGGGCAAGTCGCTTAACCCCAATTGCCTAAAAAGGAGAAAAAAAATACGAAAAAGAATCCTTGTATGAGACCTGGTTGTGAGCAGCTTTCATGAGAGGGTAGAGGCCGTGTTCCTCGGCAGAGACGTCCTCACATTTCTGTAGGACGGCATTAGTGATGCTCCTAGTGCTGCGTGGTACTGCCCCTGCCACCCTCTGCACACAGCAAGGTGGCTGGAACCAGTTTGATGTTCACTGCTGTAGTGAGGATGCCTGCCCGGCAGAGAAACTGGAAGTTAATCACGGGGCTCAGACCCGACTCGTTCTTTCTGGGGACAAGCAGTGGCAAGACCTGCTGAACTCCTTCATGCAAGCCCACCCGCTGGCTGCCCCAGAAGCAGAACATTGAGGAGGCCACTCTCCAGGATTCCTCGGGCTCTGGAGACCCCAAATGGCCAAAGCGGCTGGGACGTCACTGTGGGCTGTGTCCCCGTAAGGTTTTAACTTACCATGGGCATTTGGGGAGTTAGCACACACCAGATAGCAGTATGTTCTTATACCAGAAGGCTGTCGAGCTTAATCACTTAGAACGGTTCTGTAGATCTGCTGAGTTTAACATTGTAGAATGCCCATTTTCCAAGTTGGTAGTTATATTTTTATGAACTCAAGTGGCAATAAACTAGTAATACAAAATTGTATGTTAAAAAAGACTTTTAGAATTAAGAGAGACCTTAAATTAAAGGTTACTCACTCCAGCCCTCTCATCAGGTAGGGAGATTTCATCCCCAGGCAAATCTAAGGTCCTCTGACTAGTCCACAACAGAGCTGGGATTACAACCAGCAATTTATAAAGTGCTCTGGCCATTAGTTTATCTTCACTACTTCCTTGTGGCTTCCAAAGAACGTCATTCCAGGGGCAGCTAAGTGGCACAGTGGATAGAGCTTTGGCCTTGGAGTTGGGAGGATCTGAGTTCAAATCCAGCCTCACACATAATACTCACTAGCTGTGTGACTCTGGGCAAGTCACTTAACCCCAATTGCTTCACTAAAAAAAAAGGAAAAACCATTCCATTTTAACAGTACATTTTGACATAAGGACATGATAATTCATCTTATCCTGTGCCTTCGCTTCTAGATGACTTCAGAAAATAGTTTTGTTTATTTGCTTTGGATTCTAAATTTGGGCACAGGCTAACCAATGAGAATTTCTGAAAGCAAGTTGTGATTTTCTTTGGATCCTCTGCCCAACCTGGCAAGGGTACTTCTGTTCCCTTGCTCAGCATTGTAAGGGTATTCCAGTTCCCATACAAGAACCCCCTAGGGGTTCTTCCAGACTGAAATAGTTACAGGAAATCTAGCTCAGTCCCAGCCTGTAGGAGCCCAGGGGAACCAAACTAGTTCTGGAGGTCAGGTCAACACAAGTTTTAAGTGACTTGGGGGATGATCCAGAGTGAACTAGGGGACACAATCTAGAATAGGGGTTCTCAATCTAGGGTCTGAATTTTTAAAAACATTTTTTGATATTTTGTCACATTTAACAAAATTAGTCCTTTGTAACATTCTGTTTTACCTTACGCATTTAAAAACATGGTTCTAAGAAGGGGTCTATGCCACAAACCAAGTCAAGACCCCCTGTCCTTGAGCATCCTGGGACCAGCAGTTCCTGTCATCCTACAGGCTAGACGGGCATCATCCCAGACCTTAACCCTAGCCCAGCTTAGGCCTAGGCTGAAGCGACCTCAGGAGCTGTCACCCTAAAGGTAATAAACCCACCTATTCCTCTTACCTCAGGTCCCCTTATATTCAGGTGGGGCTATTTGGGGTGGGGGTAGGATAAAAAATCAAATAGTTACTGGCCTCATTACCTTCCCTCCTCTCCAGTGGGAAGAAGGCTGGTCTAGTTCTGGAGCTGTGAGCTCGGCCCACCGTGGGTTGGTGGTTGGGGCTGGAGAGAAAGGTCGCAAACCAAACCTATGGTCAGCTTGGTTTATTCTAGTCGAGGTCATGCTTCCTTGGTGGCCACAGTGTCGACGTGTTTTCTTTGAGAGCACGATGTTCCATATTGGCATTGAACCCATGAACCAAGTCAGTGTTACTCTCCTAATGCTTCTGAAAGTCATGACCTGAAGATGATCACCCCAAGTCCAAAGCTGTGGGAGTGGCTAAATCACTGAAAGCAAAATCACTCAGAAATAAGGAGGAAGGCAAATTGGCAGCATCCTAGGACAATGACTGCTTTGGATTTTCAGCAAGTGTAGAGATCTGTGGGGGGGAATAAACCTTTCTCTAAACTGAGTTTACAAATGATTCTGTCCACTACCTCTTATAGACAAAATTCCCCAAATATAGGTTAGAATCAGAATGTCAGAGCTAAGAGGGCCCCAGGAGACCACCTGGTCCAATTGCCGAGCCTCACCCCCTTTTAAAGAGAAGGAAATGAAGGCCAGAGAGGAGAGGGGGAAAGATGATGAAACTGTCTTGGGAGTTGGAACTTGAACCCAGGTCTTCTAACATCATCCGGGGCGTTTTTTCTATTCCAGCTGCCAGTCCTGAAAAGTGTAGTCTCGGGGGCAGCTCGGTGGCACAACGGATAGAGCACTTGCCCTGAAGTCAGCGAGAACCCGAGTTCAGATTCGGCCTCAGACCAACCATTTGACACTTACTAGCTGTGTGACCCTGGGCAAGTCACTTAACCCCAATTGCCTAAAAAAAAAAAAAGTGTAATCTCAAAAAACTTTCCCTATTATTAAAATTATATGTAGTGAATCTGACCTAAGCCAATGGGGCTTATCCATAAGTCAAGCATAGAGTGATTATTTGCTCCTATTCAGCTGGGTTGGAAATGAGTGAGGCTCCTCCCCACCCCACCCAGCTGGATAGCTCATCTATTTTTCCTTTTTTTCCCCCCCTTTTTTGGCTAGGCAGTGGGGTTAAGTGACTTGCCCAGGGTCACACAGCTAGTAAGTGTTACGTGTCTGAGGTGTTCTTTCTTCCATGCCCATAGACTTCAGGATGCCTTTGGTTGAATATTGGTTCCTTCCCCTGTAGTCCCAGATAAAGGGGTTAAAATGCCCAAGATTTATATCAAGCATAGTCATCATCTTAATTGGTTTGATTTGGGGAAAGTCATCTCACCTTGAGAGGTAAAATGTCCCTCTTTGTACAATAGGAATTGAGGCATCTAATTATAAGGCTTTTTAAGGTAGTTGGGCAAAAGAGTTTAATGAGGAGGATCCAGGGGTCATTAAGAAAAGGGTGAATAAACATGTTCCTATGGTGAACAGTCAGTCAGTCCTTGGACCCAGGGGGATGGGCTTAATGGAATCCTAAGGTCACATCCATCCACGCAATGCTATGAAAGTCTTGATCTTTGAAACTACACAAAATCGAACGAGCTTTTTATAGCTTCAGTTATTTATTCAGCCCACACGGGAGAGGGATTATGTACAATATATACACTTTACATGATTTCCATGAATTGATAAAGGCTAAATCCACCCAAAGTAGGTACAAGTGTCCATCCAAGTGCCACCTTTTTGCCTCTGAGGTTGGGTCATTCTGTTGTAAAAGAGATCTCACTAGAAAAATGTGACTTTCCTTTTTGATGACTAAAATAGGAATGACTGAATCTTGAAACTTAGTGACAAATATCAAATGGAGGTGCTCTAAATTTAGAGTCATCTCAAATATTTGAGTGTTGAGGTTTGACAGGAACCATGAAGGAGAGGACAGAGAAAGTGCTCTAGTGGCTAGGAGTTAATTAGAAAATAATAGGCCAACCTGCTCCCTGTGCCTTAGGGGATCCAAGCCTGAATTTGAGTTTAGTAGGAACAAGTGCAGGGAGACCCCTATGCCCTCCAGAGTGGAACCCAGCATTAGGACTGGAGGAGTCGGGGAACTGCAAAGCGTCAATCAAGTGACAAGTATTTATTAAGCCCCGCCTATGTCCTCGTGAGACCTTCCCTAAACAACGTCCAGCTTTTGAGGGCTCATCAAAGTGCGCACCAAGATTCCTCCCCCATTCTGTTTTTCCAGATTTTTTTTTTCTGGTTTGCTACCTAATCTGCTCAGCTTATTTAGAAACATTCACGGTTCTGCAGACACCACTGCAGTCGATTCCGTGTGCTGTTGCATCTCTGCGTGTCAGCTCGTCATCACCTGTGAACAATGCCCCGAGAACCATCTCGGACAAAAAAGAACACTGAGCTCTTCGGAGGCCGGAAGGAGCCCACCGTGGTGCCCTCACTCCTGGGCCTTCTGCGGCGGAGAAGGCGATGCCTCTTCACCAGCATTGCTGCTTCTGTTCCCTATTTATTACTAGACAGGTCCAAGTCAGAAGTCTAGACAACACTACGTTTTATAACGACTGCTCCGAACAGGGTCAATCTGGGCCAGAAAATGGATGGCTTTTTTTTTAAGAGCCTGGAAGCCCTTTCTGTTGCAACTCAGCCATCCCGCCAGACCAGCAGGGAAGGTTAGAGCTCAGCCTGCATCCCACCTGCCTCTTAGCACATCTCTGTCCAGGCCAGGAATTCTAGAGAAAGCCCAGAGGCCATGGAACAGCCTTCCCGTTGGCTCACACCGGTTCCCAGGTAGAGCCCGAACTCCTCCCTCCTAGCTCCTCATGCATCACACCACAAACTGCAAAGCTGTCTTTGTGCGTAGGTCTCAACTTACATATTTTTACAGGGCTTACAACAGTAAATCAAATGCGTCCAACAAGATTAAAGGGCATAGATTCAACAAAAAACACATTAAAGAGAAAATGGCTAAACAGTATGTAGAGAGAGTGTTGTACAAGTATTTCAAGTTTTGTCTTCAGCTTAATGGGATGGAATTTCTCTGACCCTCCATGACTACCGTAGCCTAGTGCCACCAGGTGGTGACCACTGTTTGCTGTGCACTTGGCTAGGCAGGCAGGCTGGGCCGCTGCTGTGGTCTTCAAAAACTCAGGGTCACTTCTATGCGTGGATGAGGGACTGGCTGCAAGTCACGACCTTCCATTAACATCGCAGCAACAACTTCTATTAGGAATTCCCTACCTATTTCATGGGAGAGTTGTTCGCGTTTCAATATCTTTAATATTGTTGACAACAGTATGTCGCTTCTTAGGCCTTTAAGGACTTTATAGCAGAGATGGTGTAGGCTCTTAAAAGTTACTCTTAATTAAGCTGCCATTGGAGATGAGCAAACAGCTTAAGGAAGGGTCCTGGGGAACTCAACCATCATCTGTAAGAGCAAACAAAAAGCTTCCCTGTGAGGGTAGAGCCTCTTTCATGTAAATACAGTAAAGGCCAGTCATTCAGAAGCTTTTGACTCAGAGATGCTGCCTGAGGGGGTGGGGCACAATCACGGGGGAATGAGGCACAAGGCCACCTTGATTCTTCTTCCGACTGTGCCTTCTCTTCTCAGAGGATATGAGATGGGGATGTCTCTTTTGTGTCAGGGACCCTTTGGGCAGTCTGGTTAAGTCTATGAACTCTTCAATTTGTTTTTTTAAAAATTTACAATGGAAAGAAATGCTAAATTTCAGTTACAGATTACAATGAAAACAGATGTCATTTCTTCCCGTCCAAGTTCGTGAACCCCCTGAAGCCTACCCGTGGTCTCCTAAGGTGTCTGGGTACCCACTTGGACAGTGATCACAGCAGGGTTCTTGGTAAGCAAGTACTTAGGTCAACCCTTTCATTTTACAGAAGTGAAACCAAAACCTGGGTCCTCACGAGAAGTTTTAGTGGTTCCCCCTGAGCCACAAAGCGAATCTGGGCCTGAGCACAAGCTGGCAAGTCCTGGTCCAGGCCCAGATAAGAACAATTTAAAATGTCGGCGCTGCCAGAGAGCGTGGAGGTGAGAACAAGATCACATGGACCATAAGTGGAAGTCTTGGTGACCTCTGAGGAAGGTCCTTTCAATTGTGAAGAGCCAGTGATCCAGAGAGGGGAACAGGGACCCTCAGGGATGCCAGCCTTCACGACCAGAAATACCTGGCCTTGGGCCTGCGTGAGGACAGGCATGACCCGTCACTCCCAGTAGAGGGACTGGTCAGACCAGATGCCTCCCAGCAGCTGGGGTAAGAAGGCTTTGGGGTGCTGGCCCAAGACGTGATCTCTAGATGCTGCAGGGCAGCAGGCAAGAGCAGAACGCCCCTGGGGAACACAGGGTGGGAGGAAAGAATATTTGGCCTGTCCTGGGGTCCCTCCAGATGGCTGGAGGTGCTTCTCAAGCAGCTTGCACTGCCTGCCCTGAGGGTACATCTACATGGCTGCCTGCAGGAGACAGCTTCTCTAAGGGGTCAGGAATTTGGGGATTCCAGGCCCGTCTTCACTGGCCTCCCTCTCTGTGACACAGAGGCTCCAGCATGAGGCAAGGAAGAGAGGCTCCGCTCCAGGCTTGTCCTGGATCGTTCCTTGTTTTAGCGATTCGTAGGAAAAGGGGCAACACCGAGACTCTTGCCCAGGAAAGATCCAGACCTCCACGCGTCCCATGCCCAAGGAGGCTGGTCTCTTTACCTCCTAAAATAGTTTACTTTTGTTAGATGGGAAGGGAGAGGGAAACTTACTCTTCTTGGCAACAGTTTCTTATTTTAAAATATTTCCCTAATCTCAGGGATGATTTCCCACAGATTATTATAGTATTAAGACTGAATAAAATTCTGGTGTTGAACTATGTGGCAGCGTCTCAGCAGCCTCACAGAAACAGGAATTAACAATTTAGATTTTTAATATTCCGAAAAACTCAAGCAACCATTGCGCTCCTGTGAACAAAATGCCTGTTTTATTTCCAGCTTCTTTGCCCTTGACAAGGATGTTCCCCCCTCCCTCTGGCTACTCACACGACCTGCAAGCTCCTCTCGTGGCCATCCAACTGGACTTTCAGTTTGTGAAGCTCCTCTATCTCCCGATTGTGACGCTCTGTTTTGTGTCGGACCAAGGAACGATAGAAGTGAATGGTGAACACGACAAAGATGAGCCCCACCGGCACCATGATGATGGTGGACACCAGGGCAGCCTGCCAACCGGTGTGGCTAGTTGGCCCTGGCTTGGAGTTGGGCCCGTCTTTGGCGCTTGAGTCCACAGGGAGGAATTTGATCCAACACAGGAGCACCACCTCTGCCAGGAAGAGGAGGATCCCCAGGACGGTGGAGAAGCCCCAGGCCAACTCGATGTAGGGGTGCATGCGCTCATGGGGGGACTCGCTGATGGAGTTCAGATTGTGAATGTTGCTCACGGCTTCCACATTGGGCAGGATGCAGGTGCTGATGAGGAGGGCGAAGAGGTGGACCGCCACCAGCACTGTGGTGCAGGCGCTGAAGGCAATCAGGAGCATTTGGGGGTACTGGTACTGCATCTCCAGCTGCACCTCCACCATGGCCACCTGCAAAACAAAAGGAGGCACCTTGGAGTGGGCCTGGCGCAACCACCGGGCCTAGAAGACAAAAGCGGGGCATCTGTCGTGCTCTCCTGCCTAGGTCGTTCACACCAGGGTTTCTAGAAGTGCGGTTTTAGACAATCTTAAGCAGAGGCAAGCACTGAGTAGTACTGCTTTCACCTCCTGCTCGTAAGCAATGGTTTTAATGCCTAATTAATGATCTTAGTCACCACTGCAAACTAACACAGGCGAATGACAGCATTTTCTCAGGAACACGCCAGCCGCCCCAAAAACAGGCCTGGCGAGGCCTGTGTCAGGGCATCATCTGGACTGCTGGGTGCCCGGCAAAAATTTGGAGACAGTCTTCAACGTTAGGCAAGCTCAGAATTGCTCACCAAGCCCTTATTCTGTGTGGCTCCTGGCATGGAAAGAGAAGCTCGGGGAGTCACATGCCCGGGACGGTCCATCCAAGGAATCCCACGGCTAGGAAAGGTGAGCAGGCATCCCAAGAAAGGTGCTCCCTTTCCCCAGACAGGTGACAGGTGACTTGAGGACGGAGCAGTAGGGAATCAAGAATTCTGGCCCAAGGGGTCCAAAACGGGCCTCATGAGGATCCAGTGCTCTCCAACAGAGTTGTTTGTGTGTATGTGTGCACATGTGGACACGTGTATTCTGGAACATGTTCTTGCTCTCTAAATGTTAGCTGACAGCATCCTGAGTCTACTCTGCCTCCCTGCTCCAACTCTCTGGAGTCCACTCTCCATCCCCTCTGTGGTATGGGAGAAGTGGGCAGCCTCATCCGCACAGTACAGTACCGAAGGCTGCTGGGCCAGCGGCTTGTGCTCTGACTCGGACACAAAGTAACAAAACCCTTCTCCCAGCCTTCCCGGAACTCACAGCACCCAGAAGCCTGACTGCCTTATAGAGATGGGACCTAAGGAGTTCCCGGGGAAGGGGACAGGGGAAGGCTCTGTACCCACCTCCCCAACCACAACGGGGGCACACACTCCACCAAACTTTGAGAAATACTGGAGGCACCCAAAGCTGCCCCAAAATGATTTCAGCTAGAGATGTACAGAAGACTCTACTACCTCCCTCAATGTCTAACTACTCGTTGTATGGGGGAAGCTGCTTTCCTTTTGTCCTGAGATACCTGGCACAGACCAAGAGGATCTGGCAGTCTCAGTGGACAAGCCAAAGAGGAGTTGGCAGTGTACCCCTACCCACTTAAGAGGTGGGCTACCAAGCAGCAAGGCCTGAGCCATCCCCTCTCCATCACCTTCATGACTCAATCACTCTTACGACAAGCGGTGCTCAGGTCAAAAGGATGTGGAGATGTGGAAAAGATACAGAGATTATTAACAAAGAAAATTAAGGGGATGGGGAATAGGTCCTGTGAGGAAAAGTCAGAGGCATTAGGGTTGCTCAGCCTTAAAGGAGAAAACCAGAAAGGGCTGTTGTCTGTAAGGAAACTCGGGGGTTATGATGGGACTAGGGCCAAACAAGAAGAAACGGGCTTCAGAGATTTTAGTGAGACAACAAATGTCTCGGCCATCAGGAAGAGTGACAGTGGAGCAGAGAACAAAGACAAACAAAGGTGAGTCTCTCTCCTCGGGAATCTCGAAAGCAAAAATGTGCTTGTCTGTACAAGCTGGTTTAGACCCAAGATGGGGATGGGCCCAATGACCTCGAGGCTTTCTCCACCGTTAGCTGTAAGCGTCATTCTTCTCATGACAATGTTCTTGGCTGCCTTCGAGATTATCAACAATCGAGGAAGGGAAAAAAAGAACAAAGTAAAAAGTGCACTGCAGAGAACAAAAGGGAATTTACAAGGAAGCAAAGAAAACATGGACAGCTCTGAACACAGTGTGTGGAATTTATTACAAAGGCTTTCTGGAAATGGAAATTTATTGCTGTATATTTTGAATCCTCTCTTATGTTCTGCTGTGCACATGGCAATGCTTTTTCTTCTTTTCTTATTTTGTACTTAAATTTCAGTATTTAAATTTATAATGTTTTTTCTTTTCTTACTTTATATTTAAGTTTTAGTATTTAAGTTTAAAATAATTAATAAAAAAAGATTATCAACAATTAATTAAATTTAGCTAATAATTTTTTCTTAGTCCTCATCATCTCTAGACAGATCAAACAGCAAGTATTTATTAAGCACCTACTGTGTGCCAAGCACAGTGCTAGGCATTAGGGATACAAGCACAAAGAATGAAAAGATCTCTATTCACAATGAGCTTATATTCTAGTTGGGGAGGCAAGTACATATAAAATATAGGCATAGAGTATAAAGTACACACACATACACTCTCTGTAGAGAATACAGCTGTGTACATCTCCGTAACATCTACATAGATATAACTACCTATATTAGAATCCACGTAAATATATATAGACAGACGGACAAACAAAATGATTCACTATAAGGTAGACTGGGAGGTCTGGGCACCAGAAGTGGCGGGGATGGCGGGGGAGGGAGGACCAGGACATGGAAGTCAGGAGGGAATGCCTTCCAGGCATGAGGGATGCCTAGATGCAGGGGCACAAAGATGGGAGGTGGGATGTCATGTATGAGGAAAAGAGAGAAGGTTGGCTTGGCCAACCGAATGGTGTGGGAGAGACAACAATGTCCAATGAACCCAGAGACATGGGGTTGGGGCCAGGTTGTAACAGAGGGTTATATGTAATCCTAGAGGCCACAGGGAGCCACACCGTCCAGTCTGTGCTTGGGAGAGGATGGCCTCAAGTGGGGAGGCCCATGAGTATAGGGCCGCAATAATCCAGGTGAGAGGTAAGAAGGGCCTGAGCTCAGGTTGGAGCTAGCTGCGTGAGCGTAAAGGACTCAGTACCAGAGACAGCACGAAGGCAGAAGTGTCCATTTTTGCAGGACTGGACACGTGGGGTAAAGGCGAGTGAGATGACTAACCTCAGATACTAAGATGGTGGTAATGCTTTTTAAAGAATGAGAAAAATTTGGACATAGGGAGGGTTCACAGGGAAATGATGTGCTCAGTTTTTAGTGATGTTGCGTTCAAGTGGTCTTTGAGACTTCTGTCTAATTTGAAGTGTCCAGTAGGCAGCTGGTGATCAGAGGAGATACTGGGGCTGGTGAGATGGATCTGGGCAGAGATGATGGTTAAACCCAACGTCTCTCCTGACCTCCAACCCTGCCTCACCACAGAGCCTCCTCCCGCATGTTCCCCAGGCTCTGCCCAGAACAGGGCAAGCACGGCCAGTGCCAGCCCACCTGCTCTCCATCAACTGGCGCCGCCTCCAAGCTTTAATTTCCGTTGGGGACGGCTGGCTGTCCTTGTAGGCAAGGAGGTCTCTGACCTCCGAGTCACCCCGGCTCTCCTCTTCCGCCATCGGCTGCCAAGTCTCATCAATCCTCTCTCCACAAAGCTGCTTATGTCCCTCCCTTTCTCTCCGCTCAGATTCACCACAGTTCAAGCCCCTATCACCTCCTACCTGGAGGGCCGAGATCACCTCCAAATTAGGGTCCCCATTTCCAGACTCTCCTTCTCTCCCTTCTTCAATCCACCCTCAAAAATAAGCTCCCCAATGCACAGGTTGGGCCTGGTCACTCTAGCGCATCTAGGGCAAAAGATAAACTAACCCCTCGGTGTGACATTTCAGGCCCTCCACGATCTGGCTCCCACTTCCCATCCCAGTCTCATCTCCTAGGATTCCACTTCATGCCTTCCTCTAGCACCAGCCAAAGATTCCTCAAACACATCACTCCACGTCCCACCTCCATGTTTTTGCACAGGCTGTGCTTTCGTGTCTGGAATGTACTCCTTCCTCTCAGAATCCTTGTTTTCCTTCAAGACTCCGCTCAGCCTTCTCTATAAAGTCCTGACATTCCCTAAAGCTGCCCTTCTCCAAATGATGTCATGCTTGCTTTGTGTGTCCGGGTCACAATGTCATTGGATGACAGCTCTGGAGCTGTCAGGCCTTGGGGGCTATGGGCTATATCAAAGACTGAAGAGGACAAGAGGCTGGAGGTGTGTGACTTGTCCAAGGTCACTGAGGGCGTAATTTGTGGACGTGAGATTCAAACACAAGCCTCTAACTGCAGAGAAGAGAACGTTCTGTCCCTGTGTCCCCATCCCAAAGGGCAGGGGCTTGCCACGCAGCAGACGCTTCACAAATGGGAGCTGAACTAAACCTAATAAATTTGAAGGCTGTTCTTGTGACTTCTCCAGGAAAAGTAATCCTAAACCTGTGACCTCATAAATGACTCGGTGTTTATAACTTATCTTCTGGTTCTCAACTTGGGTGTGCATTCAGTTAGCTGGGAAACAAACATTCTTCGGCCTCAAGTCTTTTCCTGATCCAGAACGTAAGGGATGTCCAGGCCCCGGGACGCTATTAAACGGAAACCGTTTGCCTGGATTTCTTCAAAAACTACCTATAAAATCAGGCATCTAACACTTTTTGGCTCCCTTCATGATGGCTATCCTTCCAAGGTATCAGAAACCATGGCAGATGCTGTCTTCAACTCTGTCCACTTTCTCCTCGAGGAATCTCATTTGTACATCTCTGGATACAGCCTATATCTCCCTAGTGAAATACTGGCTTTCA